TCTATGAACGTCCGGATCATTTGTTTCAGCGTTCCGTTAAACCGTTCACAGAAACATAGAAACATAGAATGTGACGGCAGATAAGAACCATTCGGCCCATCTAGTCTGCCCAATTTTCTAAAACTTTCATTAGTCCCTAGCCTTATCTTATAGTTAGGATAGCCTTATGCCTATCCCAAACATGCTTAAACTCCTTTATTGTGTTAACCTCTGCCACTTCAGCTGGAAGGCTATTCCATGCATCCACTACCCTCTCAGTAAAGTAATACTTCCTGATATTTTTAAACCTTTGTCCCTCTAATTTAAGACTATGTCTTCTGTTAAGACTATGTCCTCCTGTTGTGGTATGGATCCGGACACTACTTTTTCTGCATGACGGTACAACAGCCCTTTGTCCCAGGTATATCCAGTGGTGTATTTTGGTTTTGTGCTGCCCTAGGCATGACTCAACTTATGCACCCCCCTCGACATCCAGCGTCTTATCACTGTTATTTTCACCGTGAGAATCGCGGAAAAGCCTCTAGCGGCTGTCAGTGAGACAGCCACTAGAGGCTGGATTAACACTCAGTGAAACATAGCAGTTTCTCTGAAACTGCTATGTTTTCAGCTGCAGGGTTAAAAGTAGAGGGACCTGACACCATTGAGCTGAAGTGGTCTGGGTGCCTATAGTGGTCCTTTAAGTATCCCTCTTTAGGAGAGGCAGCACCTATTTTGGACAATAAAACTCAAATTCTTACGTAATTCAGACAGCTAATAAAGCTTGCACTATAACTGAAATTCATTAAAGTGCAAGCTTTATTACCTAACTGAATTACACAATTCAGCCATAGTCAATAAAAGCCGTGCAGCGCCCCGGGAGCAGAGGTATCCAGCGACTTGGAGCAGACAAGTATGGAAGGCTCTGGTGATGATGGGCTGGCCGAGGTGAGGCAGCAAGTGGCCCAGTATGGTGATAATGTGCCCATGGATATATTCCAGGCGATCTGGAACCAGGTCACAGCCGAGCGAAACACAAGGATGGACCGAGAATTCCGGCTGGCGAAAGAGAGAGAATATGCTCAGCGGAAGGAGTGTTACAGCAGCCAAAGAGAGGCTGCATTCGAGGAGGTTAACTGTTTCCCCCTGAGGCGGCCAGAGGAACCCGAAGTAGGGGTCCTCATAGACTGGTCCTGTGAGGAACCACAACAGGCAGGTGGAGATGGGACCGAGGTCTCTCAACCGGGCCCAACGGGATGCTAGGCAGCCGGCCCAGATCCCCAGCAGCAGCCGGAGTTAGCGGGTGCGAAAGCCAGTGGTCCTTACTCGCAAATGTTGAGGGACCTCACAGACTGGTCCTGGGAAGACCCACAGATGGCAGGTGGAGATGGGACTGCGGTCTCTCTACCGGCCCTACAAGGATGCTGGGCGGTCGGCCCAGATCCCCAGCGGCAGTGTGTGTTACAGGGAGCTGAAGGTGCCGTCCTTCCTCCCCAGCGGCAGTTTGAGTTACAGGGAGACAAAGGTGCCGTCCTTCCTCCCCAGCGGCAGTGCGAGTTACAGGGAGCCAAAGGTGTCATCCTTCCTCCCAGCGGCAGAGTGAGTTACAGGGAACCAAAGGTGCCGTCCTTCCTCCCCAGTGGCAGAGTGAGTTACAGGGAGACAAAGGTGACGTCCGTCCTCCCCAGCGGCAGTGTGAGTTACAGGGAGCCAAAGGTGCCGTCCTTCCTCCCCAGCGGCAGAGTGTCCTGCAGGGAGCAGAGATAGTCGGTCTCGCCTCCAAGCAGCAGGACAATATATTGAAAAGGGAGACAGTCGGTCCCCCTCTCCACCAGCAGAGAGAGTGTCAGGCAGAGGAGCCTGTTACCCCCTCTCCCCAGCGGCTGAAAGTGTGTAAGGGAGAGGAGCTTGTTACCCCCTCTCCCCAGCGGCCGCGTAGCCCACACCGGTGCGGAGATGATAAGCCCCACACCGGTGCAGATGGGACCGTGGTCTCTGTGCCCCAACCACAGGGGGTATGGACGGTCGGTCCTGTCCCCCAGCAGCAGGGCTGTATATCCAAAGGGGAGACAGCCTGTCTGCCCCTCCAGCAACCAGGCTCCAACCAGACTACTCCCGTGGTAGTGCTGGCACCAGGACAGAGTACCGCTGGTCTCTGCCCACTCAGCAACCCACCCAGTACGCTTACCAGTCACCCACACAGCCATGGTGAGGCACCTGGACACGGACAAAGTTCTCCTCTACCCAGGTGTAGTAGCCAGTTATTGTGGGTGGGCTGTATTACTGATTGTGTTTTGTGGGTGGGCTGCTGGACTAACAAGGGCACTGACCGACAGGAGGTCAGATACCCTGTTAGTCTGATTGGTAAAGGGGAGAAGTGTGGCGGAACCAACCTCGCCACTATGCACTGGAGAAGCCTGGTTGCCAGCCTCCTGCCATGTGACTATGGCCCCTGGGATGTATTGCCCTTTAAAGACATGATTTGGGCATAATGGATTTGTGTTGTGCTGCTGCTGGCTCTTTTAAGAACCATCTGGGGACATACTGTGGAGTTACTGGGTGGCCACCATTTCCTGTATCAGAAGCACATGGTGAGAACAATGGATGGCGGCCATTTTAACTCACAGACACTGTTTGGACTTTTCAACACGGTGCCATCTCGCCAGTATTTGTTGCACAGAGACATCGTGCGGTGGTTTTGGACTATACAGCAGGGGACACATTATACAGTGATTGTTTTTTATTTAGCCTGTATATGTTCTGCAGAATCTGCATTAAACTGTATTTTCCAAAGTACTGAACGGATCTGGGTGAATTTTGGATATGTGGTTCACCCAGATCCCCTGGTTTTTATGGGGTTATTGCATGTTTTGGGGTCCCTGTGATGTGTTTTATGAAACTGTATTTCTCTGGCTGTGATAATTAGATTACCCATTGTGTTCAGTAATCATATCACAGCCAGAGGGGAGGATTTTGTGTGGGAGTGTCTGGGTGTATTGTAAGGATTGATTGGCTGTTTTGTAAGGTCCTGTGGGCTGTACTATGTTTGTGGATTGGGAATAAAAGAGACTGTATGTGACAGTACAGGGAGTTCCTGCTTAACCCTCAAAGTGAAGTGTCGTCTCATTATTGGGGGAAGGATTTATTGTATGCTGTTCCAGTTTGACTGCTAGGAGAGTAAACCTATTCATATTGTTCCTATTCAACTGTCTACAGCATTCATATGCTTGGGAGAATTTATTTGTTTCTCCGGTTCGGTGATTGTGGTGTCTGCCAGAGTGCTTGGAGTCCTCAGGAAGCGCTAGGAGCATCTTTCAACGGAGGTACCCAGTCGGGGTGCCAGGTGATCCGTTACATCTCCCATTCGGTAGTTAGTTCGTTTCCCGAACAGGGTTGAAATACCCTGTTCGGGAAGCCATTGTATGAATGCTGGGGCTTTCTCGCCGCCAGCACACGAATGCTCTTGTTCACACACTACACATATACAGCTATCACCTTGGTTCTAATAGTCCTTAAAGGGATAGCATCCCACACATGAAAATACATGCTGAAGTGGCTGGTTGTGCCACAACAAGCTCTCAGTGAGTGTATTTTCAGGGCTAGCATTTATACACAGTTTGTCACGCAAGCAGCGAGATTTATCGTTTCCTTGTAGTTAATAGTACATACTTGTCTGACATTAAAAGATAAGCATTTGAATAAAGACGGTACAGGAATATCCTGAGGTCGAGCGAGGTCATACATCCTGTAGAATCGAGGCCTCTCAGAGCATGTTACAGAATACATCTGCCAAGGTCAGCATAATTATTTCAAACATTATTTTAAAGCATATAAAGCAAAAAGAGTTAACTACTCCATATCCTTACAGTTATGGCATACACACACTGCATAACATAATGGGTGCTGGAGTGGTGGGGGCATCACAATGCCAACCAACCCTGCCAGATCACCATACTACCTCCTAACTGCCATGGCATTTAGTGAATTAAACCCAATCACTCTACTCACTATCAGTGCTGCAGTTCATCCATGCCCCAGCAGGGGGAGCCCAGCCACCATTATTCTGGCAGCATGGTTTATGGAAGGATGTAATCATGGAATGCTAAGAATAAGGTGACTGTGAGCAGGGGCCCAGCCAGAAACCAGAGCACAAAGAGGGCATAGATAGCCTAAAATAGCCTCCACCTGGGAGTATTAACCCCTGAGCGACCAGGGCTGGGATATTAACCCTATAACTGCCTCCACCTGGGAGTATTAACCCCTGAGCGACCGGGGCTGGGAGTATTAACCCTATAACGGCCTCCGCCTGGGAGTATTAACCCCTGAGCGACCGGGGCTGGGATATTAACCCTATAACTGCCTCCGCCTGGGCGTATTAACCCCTGAGCGACCGGGGCTGGGAGTATTAACCCTATAACGGCCTCCGCCTGGGCGTATTAACCCCTGAGCGACCGGGGCTGGGAGTATTAACCCTATAACGGCCTCCGCCTGGGAGTATTAACCCCTGAGCGACCAGGGCTGGGATATTAACCCTATAACTGCCTCCGCCTGGGAGTATTAACCCCTGAGCGACCGGGGCTGGGATATTAACCCTATAACTGCCTCCACCTGGGAGTATTAACCCCTGAGCGACCGGGGCTGGGAGTATTAACCCTATAACTGCCTCCACCTGGGAGTATTAACCCCTGAGCGACCGGGGCTGGGAGTATTAACCCTATAACTGCCTCCACCTGGGAGTATTAACCCCTGAGCGACCGGGGCTGGGAGTATTAACCCTATAACGGCCTCCGCCTGGGCGTATTAACCCCTGAGCGACCGGGGCTGGGATATTAACCCTATAACTGCCTCCTCCTGGGAGTATTAACCCCTGAGCGACCGGGGCTGGGAGTATTAACCCTATAACGGCCTCCACCCGGGAGTATTAACCCCTGAGCGACCGGGGCTGGGAGTATTAACCCTATAACGGCCTCCGCCCGGGAGTATTAAAGTTGAGGCACTATGGGAGCTGTTACACAACTTCCGGTATGAAGCCCCGCCCCCTCACTGACTCCATAGCAACCGAGCAACAGAGAGACCGAGAGAGCAGACTGCGGGGGGCTCCCAATATCGGGGTACGGGGGGGGGTGTATGGGGATATAGTATAGAAGGAGGGGGTGTATGGGGGATATAGTATAGAAGGAGGGGGTGTATGGGGGATATAGTATAGAAGGAGGGGGTGTATGGGGGGGATATAGTATAGAAGGAGGGGGTGTATGGGGGATATAGTATAGAAGGGGGATATAGTATAGAAGGAGGGGTTGTATAATATAGAAGGAGGGCGTGTGATACTATCTTATTTTATCACATTTCCCTCCACCACTAGATAATGGCGGATGAAAAAGCTGCTAGTCTTAGCCCCTGCCTATTGCACAACTGGTTGGAAGAGGTAAACTGACTCCTCCCCTTCCCCTTCCTCCCCCTCTCTACACAGACACCAATTTTCTCTTAATGTTTTTTCACGCTTTTCCCAATCCTCCCTGTACCCCAACTGTGTACCTCTGCCAATGTTTGCTTCCTAGCTGGTACCGGGGAAATACACAGGAGATAGGGGATCGCCTGGCACCCCGACTGGGTACCTCTGTTGAAGGATGCTCCTAGCGCTTACAGAGGGCTCCAAGCGCTCCGCCAGACACCACAACCACCGCAGACCCCACGAACCGCCACAGCTTGGTTAGAGTCTCGCCGTCTCCTACCCATCCTGGACCTACGACCAGGTTCCAGTGGGTGAACCTCTCCTCCAAGAGAGTGAAGCAGGAACAAGCTCTTAAAAGAGCTTAGAAGTGATTATCCAAGGGAGCATGCAGAGCATAGCAATCCCTTGTAGTGGTGTAACGGACCGTTTAGGCGATATTCACCTTTCAGATGCACAGACAACTACTGCAATCACCAATCTCCCGAACTGCAAACTACACAATTTTTCCAACTCCCAAACAGGAAACTCACGAATACTGGAAACAGCTGAATAGGAAAAACCATACAAAAGGTTTACACTCCTGGCAGTCAGCATACAATCCAATTCCCTCAATAATGAGACGACACTTCACTTTGAGGGTTAAGCAGGAACTCTCTGTAATGGCCACACACTGGCTTTTATGCAAGTCCCCATGCAAGGGGACATCCCACAGGGTGGGACACAGTACAACCAATAGTTACAGGGGAACCGTAAAACACACCCACAATTACATCACAATCCATCCTCTCTGTCCTGGAGATAATTGGGGAAGTAATTTAATTATCTCCCAGGACAGAGGCAAGACTCCATTAACCACATGGCAGTAACAATACAATAAAAGACATAAAATTACATACAGTTACATTAATTCCATAAAACATAAACATTCTGCCTATCCCCAGATAGTTTAGATCTGAGCGCACATTACTACCGAATGACGCTCAGATCACATACATACAGTTCAATCGCCATGGAGCCAAAGTCTTTCATACAGTCTTTCAGTATACGGCTGGGCTCCATGGCATAGCTATCTGGGGTAGCATGGCTTTAACAGGCCACAGAAAGGCACGAATAAACCTTTCTGCTGGTAAATTAAAAGTTTAAAATGCAGGACCATAGTCTAAAGGGAGCAGGCGAGCAACCAGGCTTCTCCAGTGTACAGTGGCGAGGTTGGTTTTGCCACACTTCTCCCCTTTACCAATAAGACTAACAGGGTATCTGACATCATGCCGGTCAGTGCCCTTGTTAGTCCAGCAGCCCACCCAGAAAACACAATCAGTAATACAGCCCACCCACAAGAACTGGTTACTACACCTGGGTAGAGGAGAACGTTGTCCATGTCCAGGCGCCTCACCATGGCTGTGTGGGTGACTGGTAAGCGGACTGGGTGGGTTGCTGAATGGGCAGAGACCAGCGGTACTCTGTCCTGGTGCCAGCACTACTACGGAAGTAGTCTGGTTGGAGCCTGGTTGCTGGAGGGGGAGACCGACTGTCTCCCCTTTGGCTAAACAGCCCTGTCGCTGGGGGGCAGAACTGACCATCTCTACCCCCTGTGCTGTAAGTGCAGAGACCACGGTCCCATCTGCACGGTTGTGGGGCTTCTCATCTCCCCTTGGTGGGCTATGCTGCCGCTGTGGAGAGGGGGCAACAAGCTCTTCTCCCTGACACACTCCCTGCTGGGGGAGAGGGGGACCAACTGTCTCCCCTTTCAATATATTGTCCTGCTGCTGGGGAGGGAGGACGATACCTTCAGCTCCCTGGGACACACACTGCCGCCGGGGAGGAAGGACGATACCTTCAGCTCCCTGGGACACACACTGCTGCTGGGGAGGAAGGACGGCACCTTCAGCTTCCTGGGGGACACACTGCCGCTGGGGAGGAAGGCCGGCACCTTCAGCTCCCTGGGACACACACTGCCGCTGGGGTTCCTCGCAGGACCATTCTAGGAGGTCCGCCACCTCGGGTACCGCTGGTTGCTGTTGGGGAAGAGGACCGGTTGTCTCTTCCTGGGCCTCATTGATGAGTCGCAGGTAATCCCACTCCAGGTCACATTCCTTGGCGACCAGATACCGTAGATCTGTCTCGAGATCAACAGCGCTAGGGAGACCCAGCATGTCTTCTCGGTCGTAACACAGGTCCCAAAAACGAGAGTCGGTAGCTTTCCCAAAGTCCCAATATTATCCCAAAATAGGCCAGGGCCAGCGTTATCTCCGCCCTCTGGGAACTCATACTCTGCCATCTCGGGGACACACTGGGCAGCGTACCACTGTATTGCCTGGTATGCGTCGTCGAGCGCCAGTTCTGCATATACTAGAATCTCGAGTCTAGTCACCCACGCTTCTTCGGTCCGTTTTCTCAGGAGGGGCATCCGCTCTGCCATTCGAGCCAGGATTCGCTGCCTTCTGCTGCGGCGCCGATCCCCTCGCGAATACTGTACTTTCTCTAGGGCTTCGTCCCACAACCCGGCTCTGGCAATCTCTCTGTACCTCAACATGTCCTCCCCTGACACTGCTCCAGACCTCAGGGATATGCAACAGTACAATCTATTTTGAAACTTCTCCTCCATTCTCTGAGTTCCCTTGTAGATAGGGGCGCTGTAAGGGTACTGGCGTTGCCCTCAATTTGTAATCCAAGAACTGGTGTTGTCTATTAGCTGTCCTTCTGGGCTGTGGAAATGATCCTGTCGCTTGCCACCAATTGTAACGGACCGTTTTGCCCACAAGAGGTTAAAAACCGTTTAGGCGATATTCCCCTTTTTCAGATGCACAGACAGCTACTGCAATCACCAATCTCCCGAACTGCAAACTACACAATTTTTCCAACTCCCAAACAGGAAACTCACGAATACTGGAAACAGCTGAATAGGAAAAACCATACAAAAGGTTTACACTCCTGGCAGTCAGCATACAATCCAATTCCCTCAATAATGAGACGACACTTCACTTTGAGGGTTAAGCAGGAACTGCCTGTAATGGCCACACACTGGCTTTTATGCAAGTCCCCATGCAAGGGGACATCCCACAGGGTGGGACACAGTACAACCAATCGTTTACAGGAGAACCGTAAAACACACCCACATTTACATCACAATCCCTCCTCTCTGTCCTGGAGATAATTGGGGAAGTAATTCAATTATCTCCCAGGACAGAGGCAAGACTCCATTAACCACATGGCAGTAACAATACAATAAAAGACATAAAATTACATACAGTTACATTAATTCCATAAAACATAAACATTCTGCCTCCAGAAGACTCCATTGTAACGGCTACCCAGCTGGTGAGGCGTATCTGCCGTTGGAGACGTCCTTTTCTGGGCAAGCTGCTGTGAAGTAATGGAATTCTTATTCCCATCCACGATATCCAATTGTATAATCCAGGAGTGCTGTAAAATGAGGCAGAGTAACGGTACCATAAATGCCCTCCAAGAACGAGACGAGGCTACGTTTTGAAGGGTCAAGTAGAACTGATGTTTATTGACAGGGGTCTCCTTTTATGCAATAGTGCCCTCTGTAAGGCTACACCCACATAATTATCACAACAGCCAATTACATACATGGTTCAACCCCCACGTCTCCTCCCCTCAGATAACATGAAACACAATTAAAACAGACACAATTTTAACCACATTCTGGATGTACCCCAAAAACAGGGGGTACACCTTTAAGCACCGCTTTATAGCTCTCACTCAGGGGAGCAATATATCCAATTTTCAAGTCATTCGGTTGAGGGGTTCGGGAGTTATGGGTCTTTGAAGTTTTGACCGACCGCACAGGTTTACCAGCCGAAAAGAGTTCCATAAGTTTTGGCCTTGCGGTCGGTCTCCGTTCGTGCATAAAAACCCCACAAACCCCTTGCCATCCACAATAATCCTGGTGTTCGCCTGAATCCCCATGACTGCTTAAAGGACCACTATAGTGCCAGGAAAACATACTCGTTTTCCTGGCACTATAGTGCCCTGAGGGGGCCCCCACCTCGCGACGTCATCGGCTGAATGCGCATGCGCGGCAGGAGCCGCGCGCATTCAGCCGGTCGCATAGGAAAGCATTTACAATGCTTTCCTATGGACGCTTGCGTGCTCTCACTGTGATTTTCACAGTGAGAAGCACACAAGCGCCTCTAGCGGCTGTCAATGAGCCACTAGAGGCTCTGGAGGCTGGATTAACCCTCAGTATAAACATAGCAGTTTCTCTGAAACTGCTATGTTTATAAAAAAAAAGGGTTAATCCTAGAGGTACCTGGCACCCAGACCACTTCATTAAGCTGAAGTGGTCTGGGTGCCTAGAGTGGTCCTTTAAACAAAACTACCGAACGGCCGGTCGTTCGGTAGTTCCAGCATGAACTTACGAGCTCCTGGAGGTCTCAGCGGTGTTCGCCTGTTTGCGTATCCGTTTTTAGTTCCATGCGTTCACAGGCAAACATCGCCGTTCGTGCGTAAGATGGCCGCGAACACGTGTAAAGTCCCGAAATGTCGGCCATCTATCATGAGCACAAAGGGATTCGTCTGAACCATGCGAACGGTTCCACAATCACTGGGAGGTAAAATAGCACTTAACTGTTCCCCTGGGTGGTCTGATGTTCGGTATTTTGGGTTGTATGTTATAGTAGCAATATTCACACGAACACCAGCCATTCGGTTCTGTTTAATCCCTCCAGCAGCATTGTTGATTAAGTTCAGGCAAAAATATAGGCATAATTATAGTTCTGTTACACTGCTCCCCTTTTGTGGAACACTCCGACAGACCCGGATTGATCCTCTTCGGGTCAACTTGGGGCTGTCCGGTCTTTAGTCAAGGTAAAAGTTCCGTTTGCCTGGACAGTCCGTCTGCATTCCCATTGAACCTGCCAGGGCGATATTGGATGGAGAAGTTATACGGTTGTAGTGCCAGGCTCCATCTTAGTAGTCGTCCATTGTCCCCAGCCACTCGGTTCAGCCATGCTAGGAGGTTATGGTCTGTGATCAACCTGAATTCCTGACCGCAGTGGTATGGGGTAAGCTTCTTTAAGGCCCAGACCAGGGCTAGACACTCCTTCTCCACTGCCACGTAACTCACTTCCCTGGGTAATAGTTTCATACTCAGGTACGCGACAGGGTGTTCCCCTCCATCTTCCCCGACCTGGCTCAGAACTGCCCCCAGTCCGTACATGGACGCATCTGTATGGACAACAAATCTTTTGTTAGGGACGGGGGCAGACAAAACCGGTGCGTTGATCAGGGCTTGTTTCAGGGTTTGGAACGCTGTTTCGCAGGCGGGAGACCACAGGACTACTCTCGGCAAATTTTTCTTCGTCAAATCTGTTAAGGGTTTAGCGATGGCGCTGTAGTCAGGGACAAATTTCCTGTAATATCCTGCTGTCCCTAAGACAGTTGGCTACAGCCAAGTTGGCTGTGGGCCAGTTGGCTACAGCTTCCACCTTCGCGGGTTCTGGTCGCTGCTTCCCACACCCTACCCGGTGTCCCAAGTACTGTACTTCGGCCATTCCGAAATTACATTTCTCTGGTTTCAGAGTTAGGCCTGCGGCCCTAATCTGATCCATCACAGCCTCTACATGTCTTAAATGCTCTTCCCAAGTCTCACTATAGATCGCAATGTCATCCAGGTATGCGCACGCGAATTCCTGGAAGCCATCAAGGAGGCGATCCACTAAGCGCTGAAATGTAGCTGGGGCGTTTTTCATCCTGAATGGCATGACCTTAAATTGGTACAAGCCAAACGGGGTGACAAACGCCGACTTAGGGATAGCGTCCTTGGCCAGGGGAATGTGCCGGTACCCTTTGCACAGATCGATGGTGGTCAGATAGCGTCCCCTGGCAATACGATCTAATAGTTCGTCTACCCGGGGCATGGGGTAGGCGTCTGTCATGGTCCTGTCATTGAGGCGTCGATAATCGACATAGAATCGGGTTGTTCCGTCCTTTTTGGGGACTAGGACAACTGGGGAGGCCCAGGGGCTGTCGGACGGCTCTATGACTCCCAGTCTTAGCATCTCCTGAATCTCCTTTCTCATTTCCTCCTTTACAGCTTCAGGGATTCTGTCTAAGAGGGGTCTGTCCTGGTGTCTCCACATAATGTGTCGCTAAGGGGGTGTAACCTGGCTCCTGAGAGAATGTCAATCCTTTCTCATCTAGCAATTGTTGGAGTTGTTCCCTTTCTGTGGGGTTTAACCGCTCCCCTAGCTGCACTGTGTTAAGCAGAGTTTTCGGCTCGGAGTCAGCTAACAAATCTGGGATGGGAAGACTGTCAGGGTCTTCAGTGGCCGGGATACATATGGCCGCTATATCTTCGGGCCTTTCTTGGTATTCTTTTAACAAATTAACATGAAACGACTTCTGGACCCTTTCGTCTTGGCTACTGGCAATTACATAGGTGGTGTCACATACCTGGGCCACTACCTTGTAAGGGCCTTGCCAGGAGGTCTGCAGCTTGTTTCACTTGACAGGTCTAAGTACCAGAACTTTCTGCCCTACTTGGAACGTTCTCAATCGGGCGCCCCGATCGTACCAGTGTTTCTGACGTCCCTGGGCTGCCTGGAGATGTTCTCGGGCCATTCTGGCTAGGTGCCCCATGCGGTCCCGCATCTCCAGCACATACGGTACGATAGGAACTCCCTCATGCTCTATCTCTCCCTCCCAGTGCTCTCGGATGAGGTCGAGGGGGCCTCTCACTCGCCGTCCATAGAGCAGCTCGAAGGGAGAGAACCCTGTGGATTCCTGGGCTACCTCTCGATATGCAAACAAGAGGTGCGGCAAGAATTGCTCCCAGTCTCTGTATTCCGCTGTAAAGGTCCTTAGCAATTGCTTTAAGGTACCATTAAAGCGCTCACAGAGACCGTTAGTCTGAGGGTGGTACGGGGAGCTGAGCAGGGTGTTGACACCACAGACCTTCCATAACTGCCGGGTTAGATCTGCGGTGAACTGGGTCTGTAACGGATCACCTGGCACCCCGACTGGGTACCTCCGTTGAAGGATGCTCCTAGCGCTTCCTGAGGACTCCAAGCACTCTGGCAGACACCACAATCACCGAACTGGAGAAACAAATAAATTCTCCCAAGCATATGAATGCTGTAGACAGTTGAATAGGAACCATATGAATAGGTTTACTCTCCTAGCAGTCAAACTGGAACAGCATACAATAAATCCTTCCCCAATAATGAGACGACACTTCACTTTGAGGGTTAAAACAGGAACTCCCTGTACTGTCACATACAGTCTCTTTTATTCCCAATCCACAAACATAGTACAGCCCACAGGGCGTTACAAAACCACCAATCACATCACAGTTACATCCCACATATTCCCTCCCCTTATCCTGAGAGGAAACTCAATTACACATACAGTTAAAACATACTTTCTACCCAACTTTCATAACTCTAAAACCATACATCACATTCACATAAAATTGCATATTCACAATCAATCCATTCAGGGGAACAACATATTCAAAAATGGCACAAATCAGACAAGGGGTTCAAAAGTTAGTAAAAAGTCCTTTGTGACTAAATGAAGCATGGCTTTCTGGCCCAAACCAGTTTCAGAGTCTTCTATCCTGGAGATAAGTAATTCAATTATCTCCCAGGATAGACACAAGACTCCATTAAGCACATGGTTGCAAAAAGACACAAAACACTTTAAAATACATAAAGTCACATTTTACACACAACACACAGACATTTCACATATCCCCAGATAGCTCAGGTCTGAGCGCACATTATTAAGTGAATGGCGCTCGGACCACACAAATACAGTTTAATCGCCATGGAACCAAAGTCTTTACAGTCAGTTTCATACGAATGGGCTCCATGGGATTCCTATCTGGGGTATAACACATTCACATAAGGTCTGGTCCATAGTCCAAAGGCAAGAGGCGGGCAAGCAGCCCCCTCCAAGGACACGTGGCGAGGCCGGTTTCGCAGGGTCCCTCGGTCAGATAAGATTTCCTGAGGGAATCCCACTCTGGTGAATATCCCGACTAGGGCACTGGCGACCGTGTCAGCCTGGATATTCGTCAGAGCGACAGCCTCTGGGTAGCGTAAGAATATATTTCTTACCCGTGGGACTGGGGTTAGGTAGGGGTCCCACTAGGTCGACTGCCACCCGGCTAAACGGTTCCTCGATCACAGGCATGGGTAACAGCCGAGATTTAGGGTGGTCCCCTCTCTTCCCCACTCGTTGGCATGTGTCACAGGTACTGCAGTAACGCCGCACGTCCTTCGAGATCCCAGGCCAGAAAACGGTCTGTGTGATCCTATAGGCAGTGCGGTTACCCCCTAAGTGCCCTGACAATGGAATGTCATGTCCTATTCGGAGCAGTTCCAACCTGTACTTTCTGGGTACCACTAGTTGGCGCTTCTGCGAAGGGATACAGCCTCTCCTCCTACTTTGGGTCAACCTGTATAATCTGTCACCCTCCCATAGAAACTGCTCCCGCTCATCCCCCCCTCCCCCCCCCACTGTCGGCTAATTCCCGATATTTTTGGAGGGTGGGGTCCTGTCTAGTTTCCTTCCCAAACTCCTCTGGGGTGTCCCAAGCTATGGGTCTTTCTACCGTGTTAGGGCTAAGTGTCTGTTTGTGGCTTACCTCGGTCTCCCGTTCTGCAGGAGGATCGTCCTCGATACGGGTCTGTGAGCGGGTGGTCACGGGACAAGCAGCAGCAGTCGTGGGTAGATAAGCTGAAGCCAGAGGGCCAATGTCGTTGCCCAACACGACTTCAGCAGGTAAATTGTCCATGATTCTAACTGTGGTCTTTCCCGACCCGACTCCCCAATCCAAGTGTACCCGGGCAGTAGGTAAGCGAAAAACAGCCCCCCCGCGACACGGACAGCAACAGTACGGGTAGATACATGCTCCGGTTTCACGAGATGCTTCTGCACCAGAGTGATGGTAGCTCCAGTGTCCCTTAGGCCTTGTGCCACCTGTCCATTTACACACACCTCCTGGCGGTGATGCTGGCGGTTATCTGGGGATGCAGCTTGTATGGGGTTTGCCTCGTACAGGATGCCCAAACACTCCTCAGGGCTCCCTTCGGCTTCCAGGCAGTGAGCAGCAGAGGTACGTGATGAAGGGGTCTCTGGGTTATTGGTAGGGCGCCTCCAGTTGTTATTGGCTGATCCCAAGGGGCAATAACGAGCAATATGCCCCGTGTTGCCGCAGTGATGGCACGTAATTTTGTAAGAATCCCGGGGTTGGTGGTTAGACCCCTGAGGCCGTGGAGGTCCTGGGGGTACTGGGGCCTGAAATTCCGTGCTTGCAGCGGGCATTGAGGTGCGTGGCTCTGCTCTAGAGGTTGGTCGTGTGGACCCTTGGCTCACCTTTCTTGACTCTGCGTATTCGTCCGCTAGCCGTGCTGCCTCGATTAAGTTAGCAGGGCGACGATCTCTCACCCAATCCTGTATGTCTGCCGCCAAATCTTAGAAGAAATGTTCCATTAGGAATAGCTGTAGTACTTCCTCTCCTGTGTTGGCATTGCACCCTCGCACCCAATGTGATGCCACCCTTTGCATCTTGTTTGCCCATTCCATGTGGGAGTCTGCAGCCTTCTCTTTAGACTCCCTGAAGCGACGGCGATACGTTTCCGGGGTGACGGCATATCTGGTGAGCAGTGCAGCCTTCACCCGGTGATACTGCGCAATACCTTCCTCAGTTAGCGCCCGAAAAGCCTCATTTGCTTTTCCTGATAGCTTTCCAGCCAAAATAGTGACCCATTGGTCTAGTGGTATTTGGTGTAGTGAGCACTGCCTCTCGAAGTCAGCCAAATATGTCTCTTCCTCACTTTCCACAAACGCTTTGAATGCAGTGAAGGGTATTTTCTGCCCTGTAGCAGCGGGTGGGGTAGTATGAACTGTATGTGCAACGGGTTGTCTAGCTCTTGCCAGTTCAAGTTCGTGCCCCCTCCTATTTTGTATCTCCGTTCTTGCTTCCCGGAACAGCTGATCTATTAGCTCCACGGATGTTGCTGGGTACATGGATAATCTCCGCTGAACAAGATTTGTAATTTCCTCCTCCTCGCTGACAGGGTTAGGTTGGTCCGCGACCTCCATGGATCGATCCATCTCGTCCAGCTCCAGTGGGTCAGCTATCAGCTCTCTCCGTGGTTGGTTGCTGGCACTCCTTCCTCTGGTTTCCAATAGATCCTTTAGTGTGGGTCTTTTCAGTTTAGCATACTGGGATTCCATTCAGCACTTGTGTTGGGGATGAAAAGGACCATCCCGCCGCTGCCGCCAATGTAACGGCTACCCAGCTGGTGAGGGGTACCTGCCGTTGGAGACGTCCTTTTCTAGGCAAGCTGCTGTGAAGTCATGGAATTCTTATTCCCATCCACGATATCCAATTGTATAATCCAGAGGTGCTGTAAAATGAGGCAGAGTAACGGTACCATAAATCCCCTCCAAGAACGAGACGAGGCTACGTTTTGAAGGGTCAAGTAGAACTGATGTTTATTGACAGGGGTCTCCTTTTATACAATGGTGCCCTCTGAAAGGCTACACCCACATCGAACATCAGACCACCCAGGGGAACAGTTAAGTGCTATTTCACCTCCCAGTGATTGTGGAACCGTTCGCATGGTTCAGACGAATCCCTTTGTGCTCAGGATAGATGGCCGCCATTTCTGGACTTTACACGTGTTCGGGGCCATCTTACGCACGAACGGCGGTGTTTGCCTGTGAACGCATGGAACTAAAAACGGATACGCAAACAGGCGAACACCGCTGAGACCTCCAGCAGCTCGTAAGTTCGTGCTGGAACTACCGAACGACCGGCCGTTCGGTAGTTTTGTTTAATCAGTCATGGGGATTCAGGCGAACACCTGGATTATTGTGGATGGCAAGGGGTTCGTGTGGGTTTTTATGCACGAACGGAGACCGACCACAAGGCCAAAACTTATGGAACTCTTTTCGGCTGGAAAACCTGTGCGGTCGGTCAAAACTTCAAAGACCCATAACTCCCAAACCCCTCAACCGAATGACTTGAAAATTGGATATATTGCTCCCCTGAGTGAGAGCTATAAAGTGTTGCTGGACTTAAAGGTGTACCCCCTGTTTTTGGGGTACATCCAGAATGTGGTTAAAATTGTGTCTGTTTTAATTGTGTTTCATGTTATCTGAGGGGAGGAGACGTGGGGGTTGAACCATGTATGTAATTGGCTGTTGTAGTAATGGTATTTTGGGTTGTATGTTATAGTAGCAATATTCACACGAACATCAGCCATTCGGTTCTGTTTAACCCCTCCAGCAGCATTGTTGATTAAGTTCAGGCAAAAATATAGGCATAATTATAGTTCTGTTACATCCATTAACCACATGGCAGTAACAATACAATAAAAGACATAAAATTACATACAGTTACATTTATTCCATAAAACATAGACAGTCTGCCTATCCCCAGATAGCTTAGATCTGAGGGCACATTACTACCGAATGGCGGTCAGATCACATACATACAGTTCAATCGCCATGGAGCCAAAGTCTTTCATACAGTCTTTCAGTATACGGCTGGGCTCCATGGCATAGCTATCTGGGGTAGCATGGCTTTAACAGTCCGCAGAAAGGCATGAATAAACCTGTCTGCCGGTAAAATAAAAGTTTAAAATGCAGGACCATAGTCTAGAGGGAGCAGGCGAGCAACCAGGCTTCTCCAGTGTACAGTGGCGAGGTTGGTTTCGCCACAAGTGGTATAACAATTCCCACAATAAGAGACAGGACTCTAGATTGAGGGTGAAGAAGAACTGACTGTACTGGCACATACAGCCTCTTTTATTCACATTCTATAAACATAGTACTGCCCACAGGGTTTTGAAATACAACCAATCAATCCGTACAATACACACAGACACTCCCACACAAAATCCTCCCCTCTGCCTGTGATATGATTACTGAACACAATGGTTAATATAATTATCACAGGCAGAGAAATACAGTATTATAAAACATATCACAGGGACCCCAAAACATGCAATAACCCCATAGTTCCTCGGAACAGGGGGATCTTGGTGAACCACATATCCAAAATTCACTCAGATCCGTTCAGTGGTTTGGAAGTGTAATGGCACCCCCAGGCATAAAAGGGTTAAACCGCCATTTAGTAGATCTTCCCTTCCAGAGACACAGGCACAGCTACTGCAGAACACCAAACTTTCAAACTGCATACAAGGGAATGCTCCAAACTCCCGAACTGCATACAAAGTAGCTCTCCAAACTCCCAAACTGGAACCTTACTGTAAGGAAACCATGTACATTTAAACCTTAATCAGTAGTTTCCTCCCGAACAGCCAGAGCCCAATGAATATAGCCCTCCGTTCGGTAGTTATAGTAGACGAATTCCCAATTGTAAATCCAATAGTGTTCCTGGATAATTCCCACAGTAAAACACACGAACTCCCAAACAGCATACGTAGTCAGAATAAGGGTACAAAGATGAACTGTTTATTGGCACACCGAGAACCTTCTTTTATGCAGGTCCCCATGCAAGGGGACATCCCACAGGGTGGGACACAGTACAACCAATCACACAATGGTTACATCCCACACATCCCCTCCCCTTAGCCTGAGAGGTAACCCAATTTCCATACATTTTAAAACACACTTTTTACCCAACTTTCATAACTCCAAAACCATACATCCAATATTAATAACAGTCACATATTATTAATCAGCACATCCCAAATACAAACATACCCAAAAATCATGCAAATCCTTCCATTAGTTTAAAAGTTAGTTAGAAGTCCTTTGTGACCCAAAGAAAGCATGGCTTTTCCTCCCTAGCGGCAGTGTCCCTGGGACAACTCCCTGCTTGAGAACAATAGACAGGAAACGGGGGAGGGGAAGAATCACACCTTCCCATGGATTCCAATGGGGAAGAAACTGTCTTTAGAAGCCAATAAGCCCCAAAGTTTGGATGTATAAAGGGGTGACAGGGTGGTCTGCATTCGGTAGTTTTACCTACCGAATGCCATAGGGAAACATTGCAATTGACACAAATACAAAGAGGGCATATACAGTAAAAAAGGCATTTCTTCACACTTACAAATAGCTGCTAGCAGACGAACAGGAAAAGCAGCCAAGCGGCTTACAATCCTGGCAATCAGTCTCTAACAGCATGCAGTAAATTCCCCACAAAGACGAGACAGAGCTCCGTGTTGGTGGTCAAGCAGTGGTCAGGTTCATTGAGGGCTACCTGCCAGGTATTTATGCAGGTCTTCCACCTGGTGGACACTCCCCTAGGGGACCAGATGGAAGACTGGTAAAATGACCAATCACAGGCGTACAGGGTTAAAACACTCCGACAGTACATTACAATCCCCCCCTCTATCCTGGAGATAATTGGGAAGTAATCCAATTATCTCCAAGGACAGAGGCGAAACTCCATTAACCACATGGTTACAATAAAACACTAAAATACATAATGTTACATTTGTCACATAAAATATATACATGTAACCCATCCACAGATAGCTGGGATCTGAGCGCACTAAAGTACCGAATAGCGTTCAGATCCTATGCACACAGTCCAATCGCCGTGGAGTTAAAGTGTTCACAAAGCCTGTTCTCCATACGAACAGACTCCACGTGATGGCTATCTGGGGTATTGCTGTTCATACGGTTAAACTACCGAGTGAACAGGCATCCGGTTAAATGACCGAATGCAGAAGCAAGGAGGCTAATGGCTCAGCGGTGTTCGCGCAAATAAGTGTCCGTTTCCAGTTCCATAGTTTGGACGCTGAACACCGCTGGCCATTCGGGACTTTAAAATGGCCGCTGCCACGTGTTCGGCAAACGAACAAAGGCCACCCAGTGTGACAGATCCATCTGTATGACCTGGGATTGCTGGTTCATCTGTTTTGCCGTTTTCGTGGAATTACTCATTCGTATGCCTCTGTTCGTATAATGGAAGTTTTTTGCCGAACAAACTACCGAACGGACGGCCACCCAGAAGAGAAGTGTGCTGCTGGTTAACCTCTTGATCTCAATTAGAACCCCTTACATACAGATCCCTACGCTATCGGTACGGAGAGGATACGAATGGATTACACGAATTATTATAAAGGACAATTCGTGGTACGAACGAGAGACCCCCCCAGACTTTGGCGTGTGCCGCCACTTAACCTCATCACCCCTCGAAATACCGAATGACCGACCACCCGACGAGCGGAGCGTGTCGCTCATTAACCACCTAAGTTGCTGCGGTCTGCGGTTAACCACAAACTAATTGGCGGGCCCGGAGGATCCACATTCATATACAAGTTACCGAATGAAAACTGCAGAGAGACTCCCGAATGGAGACCTCCTACGGTGGGTCGTGTGGCAGCAATTAGAATGTGGTTTCTGCGGCTAACCGCAGATCAAGTACCGTGCTACCGGGCGGTCTCAGTTCGTATGCCGAACGGTCTCAACAACCAGACTGATAGCGGGGATTTGCATGATTATGTATCCCATTTCCGTTCCATAAGTTTGAGTCGAGGTCCTGCTGCCCATTGAACCGCCTAAAAACATGGCCACCATCAGGGACTAACGACCAAAGTGCCGAACCAGACTTTATATGGCAGAAATTGCCCATTCCGTTCGCGGGGTCTAGGCGCAATTCGTATACTTAATGTGCCCGAACCCAAGCTATCGAATGAATGGTAGAATGAACCGTTTTCCCCTCAAAATGTTGAAGTTATGTATTTTTATACGGTCTTATGGGACATAATAAAACGTGGTCTTTTGTGCGCTTGGAGATAATTAGATTGTGTAACCGTTGGCCTCATCTCCAAGTTGGGCGGGTACTAATTCAAATGATACATTGTACTGTAATTGGTTACCTCTTTGTACTGTACCTGTGTTCCATCAGGTCCATAGGGGGCTGTCCTTGGGCCTGAGGAATTGCATAAATTGCCATGTTTGTGTGCCAGTAAAGTTAGTTCGTTTGACCCTCAACTCGCAGCCTCGACTCGTGTTGTAGGGATCCGGAAATATTAATGCTCTTACACCTCGTGGGATATTCTACACTTGCATATTCTAGCGAAGGGGACTACGTTCGACTCTCTGACCACGGGAGCCAGGACATCCAAGCGATCAACCCCCCTTCTGGACCGGGGGCATTCGTAACATATACGTATGGGATCTGAGCGCTATTCGCCAATAATATGCACTCAGATCTGGGGATATGTGATACGAATTGTAAAGTTAGATATTTTTATGTGGTTTTTCTTTGTTGAATTTAAAATGGCAATTTGCCTCTGTCCTGGAGATAATTGAATTACTTCTCAATTATCTCCAGGGCAGAGGGGAGGAAATCCTAATGCATGCTGGGAATATTCTATGTCTGTGGGTCCTAACCTGCCATATGTCTGTCTATTGTTACAGTCTCCCATTTGGTCCCCTAGGGGAGTGTCCACCAGGTGGGAGACCTGCATAAATTTCGGGCAGGTAGCCCACAGTAAAGCCAGTTCATGTTTTACCCTCAATGCGGTGCTTGGTCTCGTTATTGGGGGGATTTATTACCGACGACTAGAGACTGCCGGATGGGATTATTAGCCGCTTGGGAAATATATGCGTTCGGTTACTATTGGCGATTCGTGAGTTTGGAGCTCGTGAAGTGAAGTGCCCGCACAGGTCCCGTTCGTGAGATTACAGCGTTCCCCTGCTTGCGGTTCGTATGATTGTACTTGATACGCATGAAGCCTGTGTTATTGCAAGAGGGGAGGATTCACTAAACGGCGGTTTGTGCATTTGATGCTGAGGGTACCGTAACACCCAGCATTCGTCAAGTAAGCGGTTAACCGCAGCTTTTGGGAGGTCAATTGCCGACACACTCCCAATACAGGTGGTGCAGTCATTCGGTTGTTTGTTCGGTAGATTGAATCTACCGAACACCGGGCAGAAAGGCACGAACAAGCCTTTTCTGCAGGGGAAAAGAAGGCTTTTTTTAACATGGGGCCATAGTCCAAGGGCAACAGGCTAGCAACCAGGCTTCTCCAATGCTTTGTGGCGAGGGTGGTTTCGCCACAGGAAGATACGGTTTAATGCACATTCCGCAGAACATATACAGGCTATATGAAAAATAATTACTGTTAAATGTGTCCCCTGTTCTGTAGTTTAAAACTACTGAACGATGTCTTTGTGCACCAAATACCGGCTAGATGGCACCGTGTAGAAAAGTCAAAACAGTGTCTGTGAGTTAAAATGGCCGCCATCCATTGTTCTCACCATGTGCTTCATCCATTGTTCTCACCATGTGCCTCTGGTACATGAAATGGTGGCCACCCAGTAACTCCACAGTATGTCCCCAGATGGTTCTTAAAGGGGCAGGAGGCTGGCAAACATTCCCCTCCAAAAACCAGTGACTGTCACTTTTGCCACACCTCCCTTTCCCTGTTATCACTCCCCTCCTCCTTTTCTAGCTCCCTCTCCCTGTTATCGCTCCCCCCCTCCTACCTCGCTCTCCCTGTTATCGCTCCCCCCCACCTCGCTCTCCCTGTTATCGCTCCCTTCCTCTCCTACCTCTCTCTCCCTGTTATCACTCCACTCCTTTTCTACCTCCCTCTCCCTGTTATCGCTCTCCTCCTTTTCTACCTCCCTCTCCCTGTTATCACTCTTCTAGTATAACAGAGCATAGCAATCCCTTGTAGTGATATAGCAATTCCCCCAATAAGAGACAGGACTGACGGTGAAGAAGAAGAACTCTGGTTTAATGACACACACTCTGCTTTTATGCAATTCTCCCATGCAAGGGAGACGCCCACAGACAATTATACATTAGCCAATTAAACAATGGTTACAACCCACAGATTCCCTCCCCTCTGCTTGGGAGATAATTGAGTTTCTTACGGTATCTACTCAATTATCTGCAAGCTGAAAAATCATACATTTTTATAACTCCCTGATTTTACATCACATATGAATAAAACTTATATCAGTGTGATATCATGTGATCAGCATAACTTGGGGAGCAACATATGTAAAAATCACATGAATCTGTCCAGGGGTTAAAAAGTTAGGTTGAGGTCCCTTTATGACCGACCGCAAGCACATTTTCATGCCCAAAACAGTTCCATGGATTTAGGCTGTGCGGTCGGTCTATTTTACACTGAGAAAATTACTAAGTCCCATTCGAACGAGCGTTCGAATCTTCCAACTGGACTTCGTCTCCAGCCGCAGTGTTGAAGTGGAGTAGAAGGTACGGGTCAGCGGTGTTCGTGCAATTGGGTAGCCGAAAACCGTTCCATAGATTTGGCTGCACACACCACTGACCGCATTCGAATGAGTTAAAATGCCGCCACGTGTTTGGTTTTTGAATGGCGGCCACTTCAACTGCAGCCAAAGTGCCAATTTAAAAGTACAAATCCTTTCTCTGGGAATTAAAGGGCCAGAAACAGCAATATAAAAATCAATTATGCCCAAATCAGTTCCTAGAAGGGCAATACATCCCAAGGGCCATAGTCGCAGGGCAGGAGGCTGCCAAAAACCAGTGGCGAGGTTACTTTCGCCACACTACCTTCTGACTATGGCCCTGGGATATAGGGCTGTAGCAGAGCGGCAATATTAAATTCCACGATCTCCGCTGGTATAGAAGGTAATCCACAGTCAAGCGCTGAAAAGTAAGGCAATATCCCAAATCCCCCAGTAACCGGATGAAACACAGTTCTGGGAGTCAACTGAGGTTTTTATTCACAGCTCCAGTATTTATGCAAGTCCCCATGCAAGGGGTTTCCCTACTGACATAGCAGGGATAACACAGTAGGGGACTACATGGGGGACTTAACATTCTGGGCATTTCTCCCATCAGGCACTGCTGGACGAGAGGGATACTAATACTGGAATATACCGTTAAGTGGATTATCCCTCAGTTTTGGCAAGGTTTTCCCGAAGGTATGGAGGTCTCAGCGGGAGTTAAAATGGCCGCGAACACGTGGAAGTCCCGAAATGGCGGCTGGGCTTACAGCTCTCATAGCGTTCGTGCGGTCTTTCGACAAAACGTGCCCATCAAGCAGGGAGGTAAATTAGTCTTAATTAACAGTCAGGGTGGCCTGTTAGAGGTAGGTAAGCATTCGCATGAAGAATGCTTGCAAAGTACCGAACTGCTTTGTAATCCATAGGTCTTTTCCAGGCAAACTGTGCTTTTTGTTACAGGGTTATTGCATGTTTTGGGGTCCCTGGGATATGTTTTATAATACTGTATTTTCCTGCCTGTGATAATTAAGTTAGTCTGTTGTGTTGAGATAATTGTATCACAGGAAGAGGGGAGGATTTCTGATGTAATGAATGGGAGGGTTAGCTGTGTTGTAATGTGTTGATTGGTTGTTCTTCAAAACCCTGTGGGCAGTACTATGTTTGTAGAATGTGAATAAAAGAGGCTGTATGTGCCAGTACAGTCAGATCTTCTTGACCCTCAACACGTAGTTTTGTCTCGTAATTGGAGGGGACAGCTATACTCACACTGGGGATTGCTATGCTCTGCATACTCCCTTAAAATTTAATCATTTAGCTCTTTTAAGAGCTTGTTCCTGATACGCTCTCCTGGAGGAGAGGTCTTCCCCACACGTTCCTGGAGGACAGAAGCTGATCCAGGGTGGAAGAAAGACGGCGAGACTCCAGTTAAGCTACGGCGGTTGTGGAGTGTGTGGTGGTTGTGGTGTCCGGTGCGGTGCTTGTGGTCCTTGGCGCAAGCTAGGAAGCGTCCATCAACGGAAGGTTCTCAGTCGAAATACGGGGAGTTTTTTTACCTTCCCCTCCCCTTCTACCTCCCTCTCCCTGTTATTACTCTTCTCCTCCTCTTCTACCTCCCAATCCCTTTTATTGCTCCTCTCCTCCACTTCTACTTCCCTCTCCTGTTAATGCTCCCCTCCTCCTTTTCTACCTTCCTCTCCCTGTTATAAGTCCCCTCCTCCCTCCCCTTGCTATTGCTCCCCTCCCCTCCCCTTCTACCTCCCTCTCCCTGTTATTGCTCTTCTCCTCCTCTTCTACCTCCCAATCCCTTTTATTGCTCCTCTCCTCCACTTCTACTTCCCTCTCCTGTTAATGCTCCCCTCCTCCTTTTCTACCTTCCTCTCCCTGTTATAAGTCCCCTCCTCCCTCCCCTTGCTATTGCTCCCCTCCCCTCCCCTTCTACCTCCCTCTCCCTGTTATTGCTCTTCTCCTCCTCTTCTACCTCCCAATCCCTTTTATTGCTCCTCTCCTCCACTTCTACTTCCCTCTCCTGTTAATGCTCCCCTCCTCCTTTTCTACCTTCCTCTCCCTGTTATAAGTCCCCTCCTCCCTCCCCTTGCTATTGCTCCCCTCCCCTCCCCTTCTACCTCCCTCTCCCTGTTATTGCTCTTCTCCTCCTCTTCTACCTCCCAATCCCTTTTATTGCTCCTCTCCTCCACTTCTACCTCCCTCTCCTGTTAATGCTCCTCTCCTACCTCCCTCTCCCTGTTATTGCTCCCCTCTCCCTCCCTCTCCCTGTTATTGCTCTTCTCCTCCTCTTCTACCTCCCAATCCCTTTTATCACTCCACTCCTCCTCTTCTACTTCCCTCTCCCTGTTATTGCTCCCCTCCTTTTCTATCTCCCTCTCCCTGTTATTGCTCATCTTCTACCTCCCTCTCCCTGATATTGCTCCTCTCCTCCTCTTCTACCTCCCTCTCCTGTTAATGCTCCTCTTGTACCTCCCTCTCCCTGTTATTGCTCCTCTCCTCCTCTTCTACCTCCCTCTCCCTGTTATTGCTCCTCTCCTCCTCTTCTACCTCCCTCTCCCTGTTATCGCTTCCCTCCTCCTCTTCTACCTCCCTCTCCCTGTTATCGCTCCCCTCCTCTTCTACCTCCCTCTCCCTGTTATTGCTCCTCCCCTCTTCTACCTCACCCTATCTCCCCCTCCATCTTATTGCTCCCTCCCCATTCTAGAACCCTTCTTCATTCTCTGTCCGCTCCCCTGTTCCTAGGACAGGGGTTCTCAACCCAGTCCTCAAGGACCCCCTACCAGTCCACGATTTATGGATTACCTGGGTGTGTCTAAGGTGTTTAGAAGAAAAAAACACCTTAAACACTTTAGACGCACCCAGGTAATCCATAAATCCTGGACTGATTGGGGGTCCTTGAGGGCTGGGTTGAGAACCCCTGTCCTAGGAGAAGCTCTCCCTTCTTGCGCTTTGTTAAATCCTTGTTTTGTAGGCATGTAATAGGTGAAGGTAACACAATACTCTGTTGCAGAGAGCTACCGCCTCCCTGGATAGCTCACCTCCAGGAGCCAAACTGTCAGATGGGCATGTTTTCAGACACGGACATCGGGGGATTATCAGCACGTTACTGGAGGCTCACATTGCAGACTCTACAACCAACAAAGACTCCTACAGGGCACCAAGCACACATCACATGAGGCTCATGGGTAATTGCTGAATTTAATGGTTCTCAATTGTAACTGGTGTCAGTCCTGTAGTTTAGTGTTATTGTTGTGGTAATGATGCTTTAAAGCTTTGAACCGTCGTTGCAGCCACACTGGTAACTCAGAAATTCAACATGAACAATGTCTGGGGTGAATCTGTTACTCTATAATCATGAATACCTCGAGGCAGTGGCGGATCTAGAGACTGATCTCGGGAGGGGCACTTTTATATTATTAGAAAAAAAATGTAGCGCTTTTAGTAGTAGATAATACGAGTATCACCTTTTTATATGCAAGGGGGGAAAATTCTCACTTAGGTCCCAAATGAGTTGAAATCTATAAAAGATCAAAACATGGTGCAACTGGTAGATAGCAAAAGTGTATATATGTATATATGAACTATAAACACTCACAAACAGAGAGCTGCGGACTCAGCTCTAGTTTGGATCTCTTCTGGGTCCATGTAGGCGACCCACCCCTATGGTAAATTAATATCTTGTCCTCGAGGGGAATAGATACATAAAAGATCGCGCAGTATAGTTGGTAAATTGTAGATATAAAGTAAAGTTCTCAAATGGGTACTTACAAGCAAGGAGTCAGAATTGACTCAGTATCTAGGCATTGTGCAGACTAGGGGCTACACTCCCATATGTAGAATGACAACTGTAGAACCAGGATAAAGATAATAAAATATAGCAAATTTATTAACACGATCTATAAAATAAAAATGTCACAATGTCCAAATAAAACCGGAACGCGTTTCACCACTAGCATGTGGCCCTGTTACAAACTGCTTTAAGACGGTGTCCCCAGTGTCGGTTAAAACCCTTTGTTCCTAGCTATTTCCCACTTGGTTCAGTAAATGGGTCTTACTGAACCAAGTACCACACAGGCGGACCACCTGTATTGGGAGTGTGTTCGAATTTTTCATTCGCACGAGGTCAGCGGTATGTGTAGCCAAATTCATGGAGCTAAAATCGGCTACACATTTCCACGAACACCGCTGAGCTCTACCTTCTCCCACAATGATTTTGCAGCTGCAGAGACTAAGTCCCATTCGGCGATGGGACTTAGTCGTTTTTTTCAGCCTGAAATAGACCAGCCGCATAAATTAAATATGTAATTGTTATGAAGATTGGATGTATGGTTTTAAAGTTACAGGATATGTGTAAAAACTGTATTTTTACTGCCTGTGATAATTATGTTAAACCATTGTGTGCCATAATTATATCACAGGCAGAGGGGAGGATTTTTGTATATAATTGCTGGGAGTGTTTCTGTAATGTACGTTTATGATTGGTTGTTGTGCAAAAACCCAGTGGGTGGTCCTATCTAAGGGAAACCTGCATAAAAGAAGGTTCTTTTGGTGTCAATAAACAGAATGACTTGACCCTCTAACTTGCAGCCTTGACTCATGTTTGTAGGGGACAGCTATAATCACTACAGGGATTGCTATGCTCTTCATACTCCCTTAGCTACTGAGCTCTTGTAAGAGCTCTTGTTCCTGATCCTGCTTCGCTCTACAGAAGGAAGAGGTTCACCTACTGGAGCCTAGTCGTAGGTCCAGGGTGGATAGCAGCCGGCGAGATCCTAGCCCAGCAGCGGCGGTTTGTGGCGTCTGCAGTAGTTATGGTGTCTATGCAGTAGTTATGGTGTCTACGGTGCTGATGGTCCTTTGGTGAGTGCTAGGAGTATCCTTTCTACAGTCCAACTTCCAGCCAGCCTGGAGGCAACCGTAACAGGCCCCTAGTCTGCACAACGCCTAGATACTGAGTCAATTCTGACTCCTTGCTTGTAGGGAGTGTGGGGAAATGTGTGTATGGGGGGCTGTGTATGTGTGTGTGTGTGTGTGTGTGTGTGTGTGTGTGTATGGGAGGCAGTGTGTGTGTGTGTGGTGAGGAGGGTAGGGGGGCTTTTTGATTATAAATAAAGAATTTATAAAATTTATGGATCCCTGTTGGTCCGGTGGGGAATCCCTGGTGGTTCCAGTGGTAGGAGTGAACTCTAGCCCGTAGCTCCAGGGCTAGAGTTCACTCTCGCGAGATTTGGAGCGTTGCCGTGGTAACCGCGGCAATGCTCCATGCTCGCGAGAGAAGGACCCAGAGGAGCTACAGGCTGAGCTCCCAGGTACTCTCTCCCTCCCTCCCCTGCTGGCTGCCAGCATGGTGCCTGCGGACCTCTGATCTCCCTCCCCGGTCTGCAGGCACTTTGCAGGGCTGGCACTTGGACAATGCCAGCCCTGCATTAGCCGGCAGGGGAGAATCTCGGGGGCAATTGCCCTGTTGCCCCCCCCCCACCCAGATCCGCCAGTGCCTCGAGGTCTGGTTTATAAATAAAAACCTAAACGTGTGGAACTACGGAAGCCCTCACTATCCCCTTTTTAATTTTATTTACTTGGTTTTTGTGTGGTGGTTTTAATTAGTCTTTTTACTTTTATTTATCTAATCCTGTCTATATCCCCAGGTCCAAGAGAAGAAATGCTCCAAAAATACCTTTTTCAGAAGTTCAGGTAAAATGAAATGCTTTATTCTTAAATTTTCAATCTCACTACTGACTCATAGGACACCAGGCGATCCATCCGAGGATCCACTCACACACTGCACCATCACTACTTAGAATCCACTTGTGACAGATCATCATGTCCCTGGATTGTCATACCTTTAATTTCTGCTTATTTGCTACACTGGGTGGTTCGGTATATGGGATCCACCGAACATCTGAGACCCATCTGGTTCGTATACCGAACAAACTGCCGAACAGCCAGACCACCCAGAGGAGGCATGTGCTGCTCATGCAGTTTGAGCGGTCGACTAGATGGCCGTTGTTCATATGGACGAACACGTGGCGGCGGCCATTTTTAGCCACAAACTCATACAGCGGTGTTTTGTCGTTGAGTGCATGGAACTCAAACTGGACACTCAATGGCGCGAACACTGCTGGGACTTCCATCTCTACATAGGTTCGGTTGGATACGTATGAGAATAGCGGCATTCAGTGTGAACAAGCTCCCGAACGAGGGACACAGATTGAGAGCACGTATGAACAGTTTTATTCGTATATTTTGTGGGTTTCGTACCCCTGAAGGAGACCGGCCACACAGCCTAATTCTATGGAACTATTCTAGGCAAGCGTCTCGTGTGTGGTCGGTCTAAACTTTACCCCGGTGGCGTTCGTGAGATCTGAGTCTCATCTCATGTTTGTAGTGAACTGCCATATCGGCTATAACACAACTTGGATTATTGTGCTTGGGATTATTGTAGCATCTCTCTGAATAGGGGGAAAGAACATCTCTGGCGGCGAAACCACTCTTCCTCTCGGGGTGGCCGCCACACCACTCGCCCACTGCACGATCACTATAGGACACCAGGCAATCCTTCTTAGGATCCACTCACCCATTGCACCATTACTACTGACCCATAGGACCCCAAGCGATCCTCCTTAGGATCCACTCACCCACTGCACCATCACTACTGACTCATGGGACACCAAGCGATCCTTCTTAGGATCCACTCACTGCACCATCATTACTGACTCATGGGACACCAGGCGATCCATCTGAGGATCCACTCACCCACTGCACCATCAATGTGGCGGTGTCATGGATAAATTATCCTTTAATTATGTTTAGGGAAAACCAAATCAATTCAAGCGCTTGGTGAAGCAATAAGGCACATGACGCGTGGTGATAATTGTGAATTCAGAAGAATTGCTTCTTGTTTTAATTGGGGGAGATCAGCTTTAGACAGTACAGGATACGTTTTTGCGTTCTCGCAAAGGAATGTAAGAGACATATTTCTAAATGTCAAAAGATAAGCAGTTTACAGAAGCTTAATGAAGCAGTTTTGGTGCATAGATTATGCCCCCGCAGTCTCACTGCTCAAGTCTGACATTTAGGAGTTAAATCACTTGTTTATGAATCTTAGTCACACCTCCCTGCATGTGACTTGCACAGCCTTCCTAAACACTTCCTGTAAAGAGTCATCTAAAGTTTATCCTTCCTTTATTGCAAGTTCTGTTTAATTTAGATTTTCTTATCCCCTGTGTAACAACCTCCTACCATGTTGCCTGGGAACCTCTACCTTTTGTTTTCCTGCCATCATCTACATTGCCCTGTACCTAAGAGAAAGCAGTTGTTGTTGGGGGATTCCATTATAAGAGGTGTGGAGATGGACAATGGTGGTCTTGTGAGGTGTCTTCCAGGAGCTACTGCTCACAGAGACAGGAGACGTATCTGTAATATTGTTAAGCAAGCAAAGAAGGAAGGGGAATTGGATGTACTTGTCCATCTAGGGACAAATGACTTGGCTTGCAATGAGGTTTCAGAGGTTAAGGAAGTTTTTAGTGTTTTTGCCAATGATATACGGCAGGTTGCTTCCACACTGTCATTCTCTGAAGTTCTGCCTGTGCATAACACTCAGAACGACAGGCGGATGCGTATTAGGGACTTTAATTTGTGGCTTGGTGAATGGTGTCGGGAGCAAGGATTTGGCTTTATTTCTCATGGTAGCTCTGTTTGGAATGGAGATAAGCTGTACAAAAAAGATGGTTTGCATCTTTCTCAAAAGGGAACAAATGTTCTCAGTGAGCAGTTCAGAGGTTTTGCTAGGATGTATTTAAACTAGGAGGGGGAGGCAAAAGGGTGATAAAACATCCATCCAATTGTCCCCCAAAACAAGGACAGAAGGTGCCTGTAGCAAGTGTGTTAAAAAATGATAAGCCTAGAATCATGTCTACAAATGCTCGCAGTTTAGGGAATAAGATCCATGAAATTGTGGCAATAATGGCAAATGATAGTGTGTATTTAGTCGCTGTTACGGAGACATGGTATAATGAGAAAAATGACTGGGACATAGCAATACCAGGGTACTCTTTATATAGGAAAGATATGGAAGGCAAAAAAGGGGAAGGGTGGCTGGAGCAATTTAAATGGAGTCCAAGAGAAATGGGATTATTTAAAAGTTGCACTATTGAAGGCAACAGAAAATTGCATTAGGCTTGTCAGTAAAAGCAAAAAATTCAAGAAACCACTGTGGTACTCCACAGATGTGGCCAAAATAGTTAAAAACAAAAAGTTAGCATTTAGGAACTATAAAAAAAAAACCAGAGTGGGGAAGACAAAATGATCTATAAGATTAGGCAGAACGAGGCTAAGCAGGTTATAAGAGCTTCCAAATCACACACAGAAGAGAAAATAGCACAGTCAGTAAAAAAGGGGGATAAAACATTTTTTTTAGATACATAAATGAGAAAAGAAAAGTAAATCAAGGATTAGTTAGATTAAAAACAAAAGAAGGAAGGTATGTAGAAGAGGATAAAGGTCTAGCTGACTGCCTCAATGATTATTTTTGTTCTGTATTTACAGATGAAAATGAAGGAAAGGGACTTCAGTTGAGAAAAAGGATACATGAGTAATTTATTACACGTGAGTTTACAGAGGAAGAGGTTCTATTTCAACTGTCAAAAGTAAAGACAAATAAGTCAATGGGACCGGATGGAATACACCCAAAGCTATTAAAAGAGCTTAATGGTGTACTAGCAAAACCATTAACAGATTTATTTAACCAATCATTGTTAACAGGAGTAGTCCCAGAAGATTGGAAGTTAGCGAATGTTGTGCCCATTTACAAGAAAGGTAATAGGGAGGAGTCGGGCAACTATAGGCCAGTAAGCCTTACTTCAGTAGTGGGGAAAGTGATGGAAACCATGTTAAAGGATAGGATTGATGAACATCTAAAAACACATGGATTTCAAGATCAGAGACAACATGGGTTTACTTCAGGGAGATCATGTCAAACTAATCTTATTGATTTTTTTGATTGGGTAACTAAAATTATAGATCAGGGTGGTGCAGTAGACATTGCTTACCTAGATTTCAGTAAGGCTTTTGACACTGTTGCACATAGAAGGCTTATCAATAAACTGCAATCTTTAAGTTTGGATTCCAATATTGTTGAATGGGTAAGGCAGTGGCTGAGTGACAGGCAACAGAGGGTTGTAGTTAATGGAATATATTCGAAGCTTGGACTTGTCACCAGTGGGGTACCTCAGGGATCTGTACTTGGACCCATTCTCTTTAATATTTTTATTAGTGATATTGCAGAAGGTCTTGATGGTAAGGTATGTCTTTTTGCTGATGATACTAAGATATGTAACAGGGTTGATGTTCCAGGAGGGATAAGCCAAATGACAAATGATTTAGGTAAACTAGAAAAATGGTCAGAATTGTGGCAACTGACATTTAATGTGGATAAGTGCAAGATAATGCATCTTGGACGTAAAAACCCAAGGGCAGAGTACAGAATATTTGATAGAGTCCTAACCTCAACATATGAGGAAAGGGATTTAGGGGTGATTATTTCTGATGACTTAAAGGTAGGCAGACAATGTAATAGAGCAGCAGGAAATGCTAGCAGAATGCTTGGTTGTATAGGGAGAGGTATTTGCAGTAGAAAGAGGGAAGTGCTCATGCCATTGTACAGAACACTGGTGAGACCTCACTTGGAGTATTGTACGCAGTACTGGAGACCGTATCTTCAGATGGATATTGATACCTTAGAGAGGGTTCAGAGAAGGGCTACTAAACTGGTTCATGGATTGCGGGATAAAACTTACCAGGAAAGGTTAAAGGATCTTAACATGTATAGCTTGGAGGAAAGACGAGACAGGGGGATATGATAGAAACATTTAAATATATAAAGGGAATCAACACAGTAAAGGAGGAGACTATATTTAAAAGAAGAAAAACTACCACAACAAGAGGACATAGTCTTAAATTAGAGGGACAAAGGTTTAAAAATAATATCAGGAAGTATTACTTTACTGAGAGGGTAGTGGATGCATGGAATAGCCTTCCAGCTGAAGTGGTAGAGGTTAACACAGTAAAGGAGTTTAAGCATGCGTGGGATAGGCATAAGGCTATCCTAACTATAAGATAAGGCTAGGGACTAATGAAAGTATTTAGAAAATTGGGCAGACTAGATGGGCCGAATGGTTCTTATCTGCCGTCACATTCTATGTTTCTATGTTAAGAACAAAGACTGTTTCTGGCCCTTTAACTGTTCTGTGCAAAGGATTGGTATGTTTGATATGGCACTTCGGATACAGTGGAAGTGGCTGCCATTAGGCAATCGAACACGTGGCGGCAGCAATTTTAATTCAGTCGAACGTGGTTAGTGGTGTGTGCCGTCAAATCCCTGGAACGGAACCTGTATCTTCCTCTACCCTTCGACGCTGTGGCTGGAGACCAAGTCCCGTTCGAAGATTCGAACGCAGGTTCAAATAGGACTTTGTCATCTTTTTTGTGTAAAATAGACCTCCACTTAACTAACGTCCACCGCTGAAACGTAACCCCGTTTTCACTTCGGCAGAAGTCGAAGTGCGTTAGACTACTAGAACGCCGCCTTTGGATGGGACTTTGTTATTTTTCAGGGCAGAAATAGACCGACCGCACAGCTTGAATCTGTGGAACTGTTTTGGGCATGCAAACAGGCGTGCGGTCGGTCCAAAGACTTTTTAATATTTCTGGAACCCCTGAATGGATTTGTACAAATTTTTAATATGTTTGTCCCCAAGTTGTGTTGTTCATAAAAATATAAGTTTTATTCCTGTATGATGAAAAATCTGAAAGTTATAAAAAAAAAAAAAAGTATAAGTTTTAGCTTGGAGATAATTGAGGAGATACAGTAAGAAACTCAATTATCTCCCAAGCAGAGGGGAGGGAATTGTCTGATTGGTTAATGTATAGTTGTCTCTGGGTGTCTCCCTTGCATGGAAGCACCACATAAAAGGAGAGTACCTGTCATTAAAAATCTCAGTTCTACTTTATCCTTCAAAACGTAGCTTTGTCTCGTTATTGAAAGGGAACCTGCTCAGCTAATCACTAGCTCTTTTAAGAGCTCTACCTTTCCCTCTCTACTTGGATCCAGCTGATAGAGAGAAGGCTTACTACACAGCCTCTTGCCGGGAAGAAGGACGTCTCCAACTGCTGACACCCCCTCTCCACTGGGGTAGCCGTTACACCCTGCTATGGTAATAGCTTGCTAGACCCTGCAAGAGCTTCCTGTATGTGAAAGACATACAATTGTTTAAGGTAAATTACATCTGATTGAAAGTGAACCCAGTTTTTTTTTTCATGCAGGCTCTATCAATCATAGCGAGGGCTGCATAAACAGAAACAAAGTGATTTAACTCCTAAATGGCAGAGAATTGAGCAGTGGAACATGAGAAGCATGATCTATACTCTAAAACTGCTTCATTAAGCTAAAGTTGTTTAGGTGACTATAGTGTTCAATGAGTCCAACTTAGCCAATTTTAAGGATGCATTAAGCATCAGGGACGCCAGCACTATGCTCCCGCCCCTTTTTAAGGACTCCATGAGGTCAGAAGAGCTCTAAACAGATCTCAATGTACACGTACCTCTTGGGGGTGTGGTTATGATAATCACGCCCCCAATCATATAAAAGCCCAGTCTGTCTCTAAAATAGTGCCCTTTTGTTCCTAGTGTGCCCTGTGTCTCTAGTGTCCCCTCAGTGCGTTCCTGTATCCTTTTGATAGTTCTTTGGTTTTGATCTGGCTTGCTCTTGACTATTCTGATTTCTGGTTTCCCTTGACCTTGGCTTGTTTCTGGTGTTTCTTGTAGTTTCTATTTTAGCCGGCCATTCTAAGGACCGGCTCAGGGACTTTCTTTCTGTCTCTATTATACCGGTGGTTTTCTTTCTGCGTATTGGGTAAAAATTTTACTGTTAGGGATAGCTATAAGACAAGATTGTATGACATTTTCAGTACTGAGGAAAGGGTTGAGGCAAAAGGAGGTTAGCCTTTGCTATCTGCATCCATATATTTCCCTGCCATGCATTATTAACTTCTGGTCTCAAGTCAGAGTAGCATATCTGAACAGAGCATACAATGGTAAAGGATAAGAACACTGTGACAGACCTCTCTGTCTGTGAATTACCTTTATTTTATGCCGGTTCGTCTGTTTATTCGGCTATTTCCCTGTCTGTACAGTCCCTACGCTTTATTCCCTTTTTACCGAAAGAACTGCCGAACGGCCGGCCACCCAGCATGGAAGTGTGCTGCTTGTTAACCTCTTGGCCTCATTAGAACATTGTGGTTAACCGCAGACACTTCCTAATTGTCGAATGTCGGCTGGGTGGTCATCATTTGTATGAATGAACACACGGTGGTGGCCATCTTGGACATATGAATGCCCAGCGGTGTTCGTTGACTATTTCATGGAACTGAAAACGAACACCACTGAAGCCGCTGACCTCCCTTCATCTGTTATTCCGTTCATACGAACGCTGTACCGTTCGGTACTTTGCCATACGAACAGAGTCACCCAGATAGCTATCCCTTGGAGCCCATTCGAATAAAGAAAGACTATGTGAAAAACTTTGGCTCCATGGCGATTGGACTGTGTGTATGGGATCTGAGTAATATTGTACGCTCAGATCTAAGCTATGTGGGGATTTTGTTCGGGAGTTTTATAACTGTGTATTTTTATTATCCAGTATAAAATGGATGTTATGCTCTATCCTTGGAGATAATAGAGTTACTTCCCAATTATCTCCAGGATCGAGAGGATGGTCCCATACTGTTCAAAGGGGAGTGTTTATCCCTACACTGTTATGATTGGTCAATGTAACTTTTTGTCACAGTTTTCCACCAGATTCCCGTATGGGAGTGTCCACCTGGTGGGAGACCTGCATAAAAGGCGGGCAGATAGCCCAGATTAAACAGATCTCTGCTTAACCCTCAATACAGAGCCTCTTCTCGTACTTGGGGAGATTATTTGTGTACTTTTTTGTTCGGCTGTTTGGAGCGTGGATGATTCGTATCCTTCTTATTCGTCTGATTTGGAGTGTTCGGTAGCTGCCTTTACATTCTGTTTAATCTGGGCTACCTGCCAGCCTTTTATGCATGTCTCCCACCAGGTGGACACTCCTCTGGGGACCTGGTGGAAAACTGGGACGAAATAGTACAGTTACCAATCAGAGCAGTACATAATAAACGCTCCTGGAGATAATCAGTAACTCAATTATCTCCAAGGATAGAGGATAAACTCCATTTTAGAAACCTAGAGAAAAATGCATAAAAATCTACAATTTACAAACTTCTGAACATAACACCCATATGCAACATATCCCCAGATAGCTTGGATCTGAGCGCACAATATTACCGAATAGCACTCAGATCCCATACACACAGTTCAATCGCCATGGAGCCAAAGTCTTTCACATAGTCTTACGTTCGTGAGAAAATAGTGTCCGTTTTTAGTTCCATGAAATCGTCGACGAACACCGCTGGGGCATTCTTATGTCCAAGATAGCCACCGCCGCGTGTTCGTTCATACAAACAACGACCACCCAGCCGACATTTGACAATTAGGAAGTGTCTGCGGTTAACCACAACGTTCTAATGAGGCCAAGAGGTTAACACGCAGCACACTTCCATGCTGGGTGGCCGGCCGTTCGGTAGTTCTTTCGGTGAAATGGATAATAAGTGTAGGGACTGTACGGACAGGGAAATAGCCGAACAAACAGACGAACCAAGGAGAAATAAAAGTAATTTAAAGACAGATGGGTCTGTCACAGGGGAGTAGATGAGGGAGCTCTGTGAGTGGGTGGGGGATAGGTTGTATAGAATCCCTAAGCATTCCCCGAGAAGTAAAGCCCCTTCGCAGAAAAGACAGCTGGTAGTGCCAAAGAAATACCAGCTGGAGATTCTGCGAATCGGGCATGATGTACCTTTAGGAGGACATCTAGGGTCCCGCCGCACAGCCCATAGGATTACCAGAATTTCTTCTGGCCCAGTTTTAATCGGGACATGCGACAATATTGTAAAACTTGTGACACATGTAAACGGGTAGGGAAACGGGGGGACCACCCTAAGGCCAGGCTTATGTCCATGCCTATTATAGGGGAGCCATTTTACCGCATAGCCGTTGACATTGTGGATCCCTTGGCCAGGGCTAGTCCATCCGGGAAGAAGTATATTCTCACCGTGGTGGACTACGCCACCCGTTACCAAGAGGCAGTAGCTATGTCCAATATTGAAGCGGAGACAGTAGCTGATGCCCTGGTTAAGATATTCACCAGAGTGGACTTCCCTAAGGAGATCCTCTCCGATCAGGGAACCCAGTTCACCGCTGTGCTCACCCAACAGTTGTGGAAGGTGTGCAATATTAAGCGATTGCTGAGCTCACCTTACCACCCACAGACGAACGGTCTCTGCGAGCGCTTTAACAGGACCCTCAAGCAAATGCTGAGGACCTCTACTGACGCCTGCAGAGACTGTGAGAGATTCCTGCCTCACCTGTTGTTTGTGTACAGAGAGGTACCCAAGGAATCTACTGGGATCTCTCCATTCAAGTTACTCTATGGGAGAAGGGTCCCCTCGATCTTATAAGGGGACACTGGGAGGGAGAGACAGAGCAGGAGGGGACACCCATAGTGCCATATGTCCTGGAACTCAATTCAATTTACCGAACGCCCTGGCAGAAAGGCATAAACAAGCAGACAAAAACGTCACTCCCCAATAAGTTAAGCGGGACCGTGGGCGTGATAAGCAGTCAGGTAACCAGGGAAGTGGAGTCATGGAGCCTGAGCTTCATTTGATGATTGAGGGGGATATCAGCAGGGATCTGTAGCGGTTACCCCGTGTAGCAGAGGGGTTTCAACCACTGGAGGGTGTCCTTTTCCCGATCAGTGAGGAGGATTCTCAGCATCCAGTCGTGATCCAAGTAAAGAAGCTCTTACAAGAGCTAGTGTGAATAGCTGTATAGCGGTTACCCCCAATAAGAGACAGGACTCTAGATTGAGGGTGAAGTAGCAAGGTAATTATGCAGTAAATCCCCTTCCAAGAACGAAACGAGGCTACGTTTTGAAGGGTCAAGAAGAACTGAATTTTAATGACAAGGATTCTCCTTTTATGCGATTCTGCCCATAATTAGTACAGTAACCAATAACAAACATGGTTCATCCCACACATCTCCTCCCCTCAGATAAACAGTTAACATAAGATTTTTAATGGCAGGTATTCTCCTTTTATGCAGTGCTCCCATGCAAGGGAGAGACCCACAAACAATTATACAGTAACCAATCAATGATAAGGTAAATCCAACATATCCCCTCCTCTTAAATAAACAGTTAACCCAATTAAAAAAGTACAGTTTTCTCAAGTTTTTGGATGTACCCCAAATATATGGGGTTCACCCTTAACACTGGTATCCCCTGATAGCCGATCTGGGTGAACAACATATTCAAAAATCACCCAGATCGGACCAGGGGTTCGGGAGTTACAGGGACTTAAAGTTTTGACCTACCGCACAGGTAACAGTAGCCGAAAACAGTTCCATAAGTTTTGGCCTTGCGGTCGGTCTCTGTTCGTGGAATACAAAGTCCTGAATGGCTTGCCATCCGTGGATATCCTGGTGTTCGTTAGAATTCCCATGTTTAGCTTAGTTTTTCTATCGAACGGTGGCTCGTTCGGTAGTTTCCTTCCATCGGTTCTGGCACTCTGGAGGTTTTAGCGGTGTTTGCTTGGTCGAGTGTCCGATTTGAGTTCCAGACACTCGACGACCAAACACCGCTGTTCGGGAGAGTAAGATGGCCGCCGCCACGTGTTCGTCTCCCGAAATGGCGGCCATCCCGAGAACAAAGCATACGCGGAATTGAGTACTAATTACGAAACGGCAACATTGTTGCGAACATTAATGGGGAACACACTTAGCGGGGTGGTCGGAATGTTCGGTAGATCATTCGGGACTTTTGAACAGATTGTATGGTAGTCTATGGCAGTCGGTTCATACGAAGGTTTTGAAACGAATGAGCAGTTCACATAATGTACAGATCCCGCGAACAAGCACAAAGGGGATCTGTTACAACATATATCAACGAAAAAAACAGGGGGATCTGTTACAGGATCCTGTCCATCCCTACACAAGACAACGTGTCGTCTGATTTTTCGTATAGGAAAATAAATTCTGTTGTGCAGGAAAAATATATCTCCTGGTACTATAACATTAACAGTAGGAGAGGGTCCAGCTATGTCAGGAATAGTCAAAGCGTGCAGGGACACTGGGTTGTCAATTTAACTATTGTGGCGGGGGTGGTGGTAAGGACTGAGTGTCATGAGAGTTCTGCTGCTTTCTGTTTTTAGGAGGACATTTACAGTTGCGCTTAATGTGGCCTTTTCTCCCACAATTCCAACATTCAACAGGCTTCCTGTCAACCCCTGGTTTAGGGACAGTAAGGGTCATCAAAGGGGTGACCCTTCTCTTATTATTCAAAGTAGCTTCGACCCCCATAGAAACTTTAACTAGGGTGCCGTGATCTGGTCTAGCATTCTGGAAACTAGTCCTTATGGAAGGGAGGAGACCACCCATAAAGCAGTTTGTAACGGCTACCCAGCTGGTGAGGGGTATCAGCCGTTGGAGACGTCCTTTTCTAGGCAAGCTGCTGTGAAGTAATGGAGTTCTTATTCCCATCCACGATATCCAAGTGTATAATCCAGGAGTGCTGTAAAATGAGGCAGAGTAACGGTACCATAAATCCCCTCCAAGAACGAGACGAGGCTACGTTTTGAAGGGTCAAGTAGAACTGATGTTTATTGACAGGGGATCTCCTTTTACGCAATATTGCCCTCTGAAAGGATCCATAAGTTCCCACATAATTATCACAACAGCCAATTACATACATGGTTCAACCCCCACGTCTCCTCCCCTCAGATAACATATAACACAATTAAAACACACAATTTTAACTACATTCTGGATGTACCCCAAAAACAGGGGGTACACCTTTAAGTCCAGCACCGCTTAATAGCTCTCACTCAGGGGAACAATATATCCAAATTTCAGTCCATTTGGTTGAGGGGTTCAGGAGTTATGGATCTTTGAAGTTTTGACCGACCGCACAGGTTTTCCAGCCGAAAAGAGTTCCATAAGTTTTGGCCTTGCGGTTGGTCTCCGTTCGTGCATAAAAACCCCACGAACCACTTGCCATCCACAGTCATCCTGGTGTTCGCCTGAATCCCCATGAATGCTTAAACAAAACTACTGAACGGCCGGTCGTTCGGTAGTTCCAGCACGAACTTACGAGATCCTGGAAGTCTCAGCGGTGTTCACCTGTTTGCGTATCCGTTTTTAGTTCCATGCGTTCACAGGCAAACACCGCCGTTCGTGCGTAAGATGTCCGCGAACACGTGTAAAGTCCCGAAATGGCGGCCATCAAAGGGATTCGTATGAACCATGCGAACGGCTCCACAATCACTGGGAGGTAAAATAGCAATTAACTGTTCCCCTGGGTGGTCTGATGTTCGGTATTTTGGGCTGTATGTTACAGTAGCAATATTCACACGAAAACCAGCCATTCGGTTTCTGTTTAACACATCCAGCAGCATTGTTAATTAAGTCCAGGCAAAAGTATAGGCATAATAATAGTTCTGTTTATTAGGAGTCTGGTGGAGGTGATTTCAATATCTGAGTAGCCTAGTAAAGAATTTTTACAGACTCATCTTTGCGTGGCATAATAGTTTGTGGCTAATTCTTTGGTCATAATAGTTTGTGCCTAATTCACCGCCCATTCTCTAAGGGTGGTGATATTACATCCCCCTGAAGCAGATTTGGTTCTAAACCACCCATCTGGCTGCAAATTACCTCTTTTCAGACTATCCTCATGGGCATAGGTATATTTGGAAATTATCCTAGCTTTAGATCCATCCAAGTACAGGGACTGGACTGGATTGTGGACAGGGACTGGACTAAGGCCAAAGGAGCTTTCTCCACGTCTGGCAACTGCTGTATTATTGCTAATTAAAGGCTTATATTCTTCCTGTGGCGAAAGTGACCTCGCTACTGGTTTTTGGAGGGGCCTGTTTGTCAGCCTCCTGCCTTGCGACTATGGCTCTGGGATGTATTGCCCTTCTTGGGAACTGATTTGGGGCGTATGGACTTGTATTGGACTGTTTATGGCCCTTTAAGAACTGTGTAACGGCTACCCAGGTAGTGAGAGGGTATCAGCCGTTGGAGGCGTCCTTTTTCCTGGCAAGCTGCTGTATAGTAATGAAGTTACTTATTCCCATCCACAAGATCCAAGAGCAGAGTCACGCATAGCTGTTAAAAGGAGCAAGGTAATTATGCAGTAAATCCCCTTCCAAGAACAAAACGAGGCTACGTTTTGAAGGGTCAAGAAGAACTGAATTTTAATGACAAGGATTCTCCTTTTATGCGATTCTGCCCATAATTAGTACAGTAACCAATAACAAACATGGTACATCCCACACATCTCCTCCCCTCAGATAAAAAGTTAACATAATTAACACACACAATTTTACCCTAGTTTTGGATGTACCCCAAATACTTGGGGTACACCCATAAATCTAGTATCCCCAGATAGCCCTAATCTGAGGGTACAATATATTTAAAAATCATCCCATTCGGTTAAGGGGTTCGGGTGTTATGGGACTTTAAAGTTTTGACCGACCACACAGGCACACTAGCCGAAAATAGTTCCATAAGTTTTGGCCTTGCGGTCGGTCCTCGTTCGTGCGGTGAAAAGGCACAAAAATCTTGCCATCCCTGAATATCTTGATGGTCGCTAGAATCCCTGTATGTGGTATAGTCTATCTACCGAACGGCAGGACGGTCTGTAGTTTCAGCATAAATTTACGGTGTTATGGAGGTCTCAGCGGTGTTTGCCTACTCGAGTGTCCGATTTTAGTTCCAGACACTCGACGGCAAATCACCGCTGTTCGTGAACTAAGATGGCCGCGAACACGTGTAAAAGTCCCAAAATGGCGGCCACCCAGGAACTGAAACAAAGAGTTTGTGCGTTTCTCATACGGATGGGATGTGCCGGTCTGGGAGGTAAAATACCACATAATTGAATAGCAGGGTGGTCCGGTGTTCGGTAGTTTATATTCGTATTTATGCCTGCTGAGTCCCTACCGTACGGGTCGCATAAATAGACGAATGTTGGTAAAAGTCCCGAACGGTGATAAAAATAATCCACATGAACCAGGTAAGCATATTCCATTGTATTCATAGTCTCTGTTGTTGTATATGTACATGGTCAGTTGTTAGTATTAAGTATTCCCAGGCAAAAGGTAGGGTTCTGTTACAAACTGTATTTGGGCATAATGGATTTTTATTATGCTGTTTCTGGCCCTTTACGTATTTTGGGAGAGGACCTGCAGTTTTGGTATGGCACTTCGGGTGCAGCCGAAGTAGTTGAAGTGGCCGCCGTTAGAAAACCGAACACATGGCGGCGGCCATTTTGATTCATTCGAACGTGGTCAGCGGTGTGTGCCGTCAAACTCAAATTGGCTTCAGAACGGCACGAACACCGCTAAAGTTTTACCTTACTTGGAACTAATGCATTTGACAGTTCGACAATTCGAATGGTTGTCGTTCGTCTGTTTGAACTGACTCTAACATTGGAAATAGACCGACCGCACAGCCTGATTCTCTGGAACTGTTTTGGGCATGAAAATGTGCTTGTGGTCGGTCATAAAAGGACTTCCAGCTAACTTTTTAACCCCTGGATGGAATTGGCTGAATTTTGGATTTGTTTATAATTAAAGTGTGCTGAATAATATGTCATTTTTATGAAGATTGAATTTATATTTTTAAAGTTACAGTCTATGAGTAAAAACTGTATTTCTCTGCCTGTGATAATTACATTAACCCATTGTGTAACGTAATTATATCACAGGCAGAGAGGAGGATTTTGGTGGGAGTGTCTGAGTGTATTGTACGTATTGATTGGTTGTACTTCAAAAGCCTGTGGGCGGTACTATGGTTGTAGAATGGGCATAAAAGCAGAGTGTTTGAATAAAAGTTAAGTTCTTCTTCACCCTCAATCTATAGTCCTGTCTCTGATTGGGGGAATTGCTATATCACTACAAGGGATTGCTATGCTCTGCATGCTCCCTTGGTTAATCACTTCTAAGCTCTTTTAAGAGCTTGTTCCTGTCTTGCTCTCGGAAGGAGTCTACGGTGGTTATGGTGTCACTTTAGTGCTTGGAGCCCTCAGGAAGCCGTAGGAACATCCTTCAACGGAGGTACCCAGTTTGGGTGCCAGGTGATCCGTTACACTTCCCAGTGTTGGATATCTGATCTTCCTTGTGTAGTCCCCGAAATCTGTGTTTTTTTTCGGTTTGGGTATCACAGGGGTCATAAATTGTGGAGCTAATGGTCTTACTGGGGTATTTATAGGGGCCACTAGGGGTTCCCCTAAATCTGGTGTACTACCGTCTTCTTCTTGGGACCCCATGGATCTTACTAGAGCAGGGGAGTTTATATATATATATATATATATATATATATATATATATATATATATATATATATGTATTAATATTATACTGCAATGAGGGTTTCTGGGTCTTGATTAGGTGGTGATGAGCTAATAGGTGAGCCGGGGGCGCCGTGGGAAACCACAACTCCCACATTTTTCTACCCACCAGGAGTTAGTCTATTCACATCTAGGGCAAATCCAATAAAGCTTCTGGGTTATGGGACATAAGGTGGACACGGGGACCCAGAGGTTTTTAGGAGTTGTTTCATGGACGACACCTTCCTTACCCGAATAAGAAGGTGGTTGCTCAGATTTTGCCTGAGTGGCCTTGTGACAGACCCATCTGTATAACTATTATTGCTGGTTTGTCTAGTTTGCCTTCCTTTCGTGGAATTGCCTGTCCGTATACCCCTATTCGTATGTTTGACTTTTTACCGAACGGACGGCCACCCAGAATAGAAGTGTGCTGCTGGTTAACCTCTTGATCCCAATTAGAACGTTGTGGTTAACCGCAGACACCGAATGCAGGGTTGTCGTCGTTCGTATGTCGAGCAAGAGGCGGCGGCCATTTTAAACCATGCGAAAGACCAGCGGTGTTCGGCGCAGATTCTATGGAACTGAAAACGGACACTTTTTCTGCCGAACACCGCTGAAACCACAGACCGCTCTTCTCAGTCGACAAGGCATGCGAACACCGGCCGTTCGGGAGTTTGGATTACACGAATGGACTTAACCCAGACAGCCATCCCATGGAGTCAATCGCATACCGAAAGACTGTAAAAGACTTTGACTCCATGGCGATTGAACTGTGCGTATGGGATCTGAGTGCTATTCGCTAAGAATATGCACTCAGATCCAGGCTATCTGGGGATACATTGCACGAATGTAATATGTTCGGTAGTTGTGTAATTATTTATTTTCATGTGTTTTTTTGTGTCTTACTTAAAATGGTGATTTGCCTCTGTCCTGGGAGATAATTGAATTACTTCTCATTTATCTCCAGGGCAGAGGGGAGGAAACCATGATGCATGCTGGGAATATTATGTGTCTGTGTGTCCTAGCATGCTAAATGTCTGTCTGTCATTACAGTCTCCCATTTGGTCCCCTAGGGGAGTGTCCACCAAGTGGGAGACCTGCATAAATACGGGCGGGTAGCCCACAGTAAAGCCAGTTCTTGTTTTACACTCAATGTGGAGCTTGGTCTCGGTATGTGGGGATTTACTACACACGGTTAGCGATTGATTGCTTGAACCGTAAGCCGCTTGGAGGATATATTTGTTCGGCTATTAGCCGCGATTCGTGGATTTATTGTTCGGGAGCTTGGAGCATCCGTACGGGTCCCGTTCAGGAGATTGGCACATTCCCCTGGTTGCAGTTCGTACGGTGGAAGTATATACGAATGGAGTTTGCATTATTGCGAAAGGGGAAGCTTAACTAAACGGCGGTTTCACTCCTGTGTGCCAGGGGCGTCTTAACAGGCCTCATTAGAGGTAACCCCTATGTTACGGTTGCCTCCAGGCTGGCTGGAAGTTGGACCGTAGAAAGGATGCTCCCAGCGCTCACCAAAGGACCATCAGCACCGTAGACACTATAAGCACTGCAGACTCCACGAACTGCCGCTGCTGGGCTGGGATCTCGCCGTTTGCCATCCACCCTGGACCTACAACCAGGCTCCAGGTTCCAGTAGGTGAACCTCTTCCTTCTGTAGAGAAAAGCAGGATCAGGAACAAGAGCTCAGTAGCTAAGGGAGTATGAAGAGCATAGCAATCTCTGTAGTGATTATAGCTGTCCCCTACAAACATGAGTCGAGGCTGCAAGTTAGAGGGTCAAGTCGTTCTGTTTTATTGGCACCAAAGGGCCTTCTTTTATGCAGGTTTTCCTTACATAGGACCAACCACAGGGTTTTACAGAACAACCAATAACACACGTACGTTACAGAAAACACTCCCAGCAATTACACACAAAATCCTCCCCTCTGCCTGTGATATAATTATGGTACACAATGGTTAACATAATTATCACAGGCAGGAAAAATACAGTTTTTATACATGTACTATAACTTTAAAACCATACATCCAATCTTCATAAAAACTTTAAATATAAACATACTCAAAAATCCTAAAAATCCGTTCAGTAGATCAAAAGTTAGACGGAAGTCCTTTATGACCGACCGCAGGCACATTTTCATGCCCAAAACAGTTCCATAGATTTGGGCTGTGCGGTCGGTCTATTTCAGGCTGAAAAAATGACTTAGTACCATCGCCGAACGGGACTTAGTCTCTGCGGCTGAAAGTTCAGTATGGGAGAAGGTACAGGTCAGCGGTGTTCACAGAAATGTGTACCCGATTTAAGTTCCATGGATTTGGCTACACATACCGCTGACCTCGTTCGAATGAACAAAGATGGCTGCCGCCACGTGTTCGTTTGCACGAACTGCGGCCACCCAGCGTTCAGCAATTTACCTACAGCAATCCCACAACCTTGGAGGTAAATTGCCTGCACACTTCCACTTCTGGGTGGTCCACCTGTCTGGTACTTGGTTCAGTAATCCAAATTTACTGAACCAAGTGGGAAATAGCCAGGAACAAAGGGTTTTAACCAAGTCTGGGGACACAGGCTTAAAGGGGCAGTGTCCCAAACAAGTCTGGGGACACTGTCATAAAGGGGCAGTGTCCCAATTTTCTCTATGTCCCAAAAATGTGCTTGAAGGGCCAGCACCAGTACCATAAAAGTCCCTAAGCCCCAATATGCCCACAGACTGTCTTAAAGGACCATACACCCTCGGTCCATAGTCATGGGGAAGGAGGCTGGCCATAAGGCTTCTCCATAATACCGGGAAGCAGGGCATTTTGTCACTGGAAATAAGTTACAAAAGACCTTTTGTAACACCCTAATAGTCCAAAACATTGATAATAAGGGGGATCCCTTTCCTAGTGGTCTCTCTACAGCCATATTTCGTCAAATCTACTGCAGTATTATGCCATTTATTTGCTACCTATGTTTAAACAATTAGGACCACTGCAGTGGAATTTTCAGTCTTTGTCTTCTTAATCTAAACACAGATAAAGAGCTCTGCCTTGGAGGATTTTAATTCTTATCCAAAAACAAATGACAAGGCAGACAATAAAAACAACTTGAAACCCACAGATATATTCTCCTATTACTAAATCTATTTCACAAGACATTCCAATTTCCACCTGAATATAATACAACACTTAAAAACAGTTCTTTGGATCTGACATTTTTAAGTCGCTTCTTACCCAGACAGACTGACAGGGGCGTAGATCTGAGAGCGAAATTATTTAGATAGAAAAGTAAAAGATTTTTCTTACCTGCTGCACCTGATTTCACGGTCAGAGGAACGCTCGCCAGTACTCGCCGAATATTTCAACCAGCAGATCCCGCGTTTTGGCACCAAATTTGTAACAGATAAATTATCCTTTAATTATGTTCAGGGGAACCCAAATCAATTCAAGCACTTGGAGAAGCAATAAGGCACACGACACGTGGTGATAGTTGTGAATCCAGAAGAATTGCTTCTAGCTTTAATTGGGGGAGATCAGCTTTATACAGTAGAGGATACGTGCTTGCGTTCAAGGAAAGGAATGTAACAAGAGACATATTTCTAAATGCCAAAAAATACGCAGTTTACAGAAGTACTCCGGTGGGGGCTAGTTTTTATAAGAAAGAACTTAATGTAGGACAAAGTTACATAGTTACAAAGCTGAAAAGAGACTTGTGTCCATCAAGTTCAGCCTTCCTCACATATGTTTTGGCTGTTGATCCAAAAGAAGGTAAAAAACCCAGTCTGAAGCGCTTCCAATTTTGCAACAAACTAGAAAAAAAAATCCTTCTTGACCCCAAAATAGCAGTCAGAGATCTCCTTGGATCAAGCAGCTATTACCCCACTAATTAGAAATTATATCCCTGTATGTTATTGTGGCGGAACAGACCTCGCCACGTGTTTTGCTTGCTTGCCAGCCTTCTACCTTCTGACTATGGCTCTGGGATATATGGCATTTGAAAACACTATTTGTGCCCTGTGACAAAACTGGAGATTGTGCACAAATATGACTATTGTCCATATGTTTTATGATTCCCTTCGTTTGTTGCACTGTTCCACATGTGTTTCATCTGTTGGTCCGGCTGGATAGACTACCAGACAAACTGTGGAGTTACTGGGTGGCCACCATTTCATGTATCAGAGGCACATGGTGAGAACAATGGATGAAGCACATGGTGAGAACAATGGATGGCGGCCATTTTAACTCACAGACACTGTTTGGACTTTTCTACACGGTGCCATCTCGTCGGTATTTGGTGCACAAAAACTACAGAACAGGGGACACATTATACAGTAATTGTTTTTCATATAGCCTGTATATGTTCTGCGGAATCTGCATTAAACCATATCTTCCAAACTACTGAACGGATCTAGGTGCAATTTGGATATGTGGTTCACCCAGATCCCCGGGTTCCGAGGGTGTATATATATATATATATATATATATATATATATTTTTTTTTTTTTTTATGGGGTTATTGCATGTTTTGGGGTCCCTGGGATATGTTTTATAATACCGTTTTTTCCTGCCTGTGATAATTAAGTTAGTCTATTGTGTTGAGATAATTGTATCACAGGCAGAGGGGAGGATTTCTGATGTAATGAATGGGAGTGTTAGCTGTGTTGATTGGTTGTTCTTCAAAACCCTGTGGGCAGTACTATGTTTGAAGAATGTGAATAAAAGAGGCTGTATGTGCCAGTACAGTCAGTTCTTCTTGACCCTCAACACGTAGTCTTGTCTCGAGATTGGAGGGGACAGCTATATTCACACTGGGGATTGCTATGCTCTGCATACTCCCTTGAGCTTTAATCACTTAGCTCTTTTAAGAGCTTCCTGGTACGCTTCCCCACACGGTCCTGGAGGACAGAAGCTGATCCAGGGTGGACAGAAGATGGCCAGACTCCAGTTAAGCTACGGCGGTTGTGGAGTCTGCGGTGGTTGTGGTGTCCGGTGCGGTGCTTGTGGTCCTCAGCGCAAGCTAGGAAGCGTCCATTAACGAAAGGTTCCGTTACAGTTGTTTTTGCATGCATTTATCCAACTGCTATTAAAACATCTGTATGGACTCTGATAAAACCACCTCTTCAGGCAAATAATTCCATATGCTTATTGCTCTTACTGTACTTTCTTTTCTTTACCTTAGATTAAAAATAATTTCTTCAAGCCTAAATGTGTGACCTCGTGTCCTATATACAGCCCTGTTTATGAATAGATTCCCAGATAATGGTTGGTATTGGCCCCGAATATAGTTCATTTAAGCATAAAGCATTACATGAGTTTGTTAGCCAATTTTAAAATAGGCTAGCCATTTATGGCACCTACAAGCTTGAGCCTTGGAATTAAGGTACATTCCTTCACAGCGGCCACCCGGTTAGGAACACTGGTTTTGCCACCAGAGATGTTCTTTTCCCCCTAGTAGTGAATTATGCTGTAATAATCCCAAGCAGGCTTCCAAATAGCGATAATCCAAAGCAGGTATAGTAGTGATATAGCAGGTATAGCTTTCCCCACAGACATTAGTCAATACTGAATGCTGGGGATGAACTGGTTTATTGGAGGCCACACATGGCCTTTTATGCAACAGCACCTGCAAGGGGTTTCCAACTCAATATTACAGGGTAATCTCCTCCTCCCCCTCTCCCCCCCCCCTCCCATGATTTTCTCTGTACCTGAGAGAGAACTGCTTGAAAGCAAACCTCTAAATTTAATTATCTCTCGGGTACAGAACATGTACAATTGTTACAACCCAAAATATACTCCGTATAGTCAGGTACCCCCTCAAGTCCTATATCCTCAGATAGCTTGGTTCTGAGCGCCAAGCATATCCAAAAAGCGCTCAGATCCCACGAACGCAGCCAGGGTAAAGTTCTGACCAACCGCACACGAGGCTCCTGCCCAGATTAGATCCATGGAGTTGGGATGAGCGGTCAGTTTGTTTCGAGGGTACAAAATACCGAACGTGGATATCAGTCCGTATGCTGGTTATGTGTACCTCGTTTGGGAGTAAGCTCCCACCGAACAGTGTTCCTTTCAGATGAATATAGTCTAATGCAGGTGGAGATGGAAATTCACCGGTGTTCGTGCGGTTGAGTGTCCTATTTTAGTTCCACGCACTCTGTGACCAAACACCGCTGCCTGCGTTCGCGGCTCAAGATGGCCGCCACCACGTGTTCGTACATACGAACGGCGACTACTTAGAACGCTGCGGCTACAAGTATTAATGAGGTGGTGACAGAGGTTAACAAGCAGCACACGCAGCAAACGGGTGGTCTGGTAGTTTGTGGGTTTTGTTCTGTGTCCGAACAAAATAATAATAAAATTGAAGGAGAACACAATATACTGAACAAATATAAGAATGGAAAAGAGCTTTACTAATCCAGGGATAGGGTGGTCTGTTACAATAATTACTGACTCATGGGACACCAAGCGATCCTTTTTAGGATACACTGCACCATCACTACTGACTCATGGGACACCAGGCAATTCTTCTTAGGATCCACTCACGCACTACACCATCACTGACTCATGGGACATCAAGCGATCCTTCTTAAGATCCACTCACCCACTGCACCATTACTACTGACTCATGGGACACCAGACGCTTCGTACATATTGCTTCATTCTCTCACATTTGAAATCTCACCTTCCCTCAACTATAGAAATATGTGTATAAATGTGTTTATTTTAGTCAGGGGGTTTTAGAGGCCATCAATGTTCCATCAGAGGATCTGAATATAAAGGAATCCACTACAAAGCGAGACTACAAAGTTGATGGCTTTACATCCAGGCCTCCCGCCCCGAACAAGGTATAAACACCAGTTAAAGAGATGAGTTGAGAATTTTTACAATTTAATTTTAACCAAAAATGTGCAATTCCTGTTTGTCTCCCACAGTTTTCTGTTTAGCCAAGAAAACCATTCAGATTTATTTCCTATTCTTCAAATATAATGCTGATGTCCCATTTGTGAATAACCAAATTGCACATTCTGATGCATTGTGCAATTAGGGTTCAATCAGCACTCTTGTAGTAAATGTTGTGTTTTTTGTTTTTTAATGTTGCTTCTCCAAGTGACGAATGTTGAATGAGTTTATACAATCTCTGTAATCAGTCTTCGATACTTGGGAATAACTGTTATTTTGTGTGATCTAGAGTCACAACTACCGCACCGAACAAGCAGTTACCTTCTGGGCTGAGAAACTCCACAGAATCCCAGTAAGTACATCCCATCTCCCCGTCTGTCTTTGGGGGGGTATCCTACTACAGAACCCATTGTGTAATTCTTTCTCCTCTTTTAGGGAGTGTCAGACATAAAAATGAGGGACACTCCGTTCAAGAAGACCTCCGTGTTCTCCACACCGATAACCCAATATCTGGATCAGCCGTTACCCCACAGCCTGCAGAACTACCCCAACATGTGACGGCCCCACAAACTATAGAGCATTTGTAATTGTAAAGACCCCTCTCGTCATACTGAACCCCGCTGTCCAGTGCAAACGCCTCACCAGATTCTTTGATGTAAACAGAACGTTCACGAACTGGAGAAATTGCTGTACATATGAATAAAATAAGAGGGTTTACACTGCGATTTCTTGTCATTGCAGTTATTCCAGGTCTGGTTATTGGTAAAGAAATAGCAATTACCTAAACTATGTCTAGATTATGTATTAAAGGAACACTCCAAGCACTATAACCACTACCGCTAACTTCCAGAAGTAGTTGGAGTGTCCCCCATGGTAAACCATTTTAGAACGGCTTGGCTTTTTGTACTACTTGATGAGCTTCCCACCTCACTACTTCCGACAGAGAAAACAATTTGACTACTTAAATTGGTGGTGCAAGCCATTCCTGGTTCAAAACAACTACAGTGCACTATAGTGGTTATAATGTTACTTTAATCACCTGTTATAGTCCACCCCTTGCCCTCACTAATATATTGGAGGACAAGTCTGTGTCCTTCCATTCCTTGGGGAACCATAGATGACAAGTGCAGGCAAACTGGGGTGGTGGGGGCTCTTTATGTAATTCGGGAGTATATCCCACAGGAAGTCCAAAACCTATTACAAAAACCACATAAAAATACATAACTCCTATAATACAATGTTTAACCTATATGTCCAACATATCCCCAGATAGCTTAGATCTGAGCGCTCATTATGTCCAATGTTAAAAGTGCCCTATAGTACAAGGAAGGGTGGGGTCAGAAAATAGCAAGGGCTGATGGGAGATTGAGGAGGGACAAAGCAGCCAGTTTAAACTGGTCTGGCAGTGTCCCTGGGACAATGCTTTGCTGGAGAAACAATACGACAGGAAACAGGGGGAGGGGAAGAGGCACATTCTCCCATGGATTTAAAGGGGCAGAAAAAGTGTTTTAAAATTCAATATGCCCAAATAAAGCTTTTAAAGGGCAATACATCCCAGGGCCCATAGTCACAGGGCAAGAGGCTGGCAAGCAGGCCTCTCCAAATCCCAGTGACAAACGTGCTTTCGTCACACATCTTCCCTCCCAGGGGGAGACTAACCAGGTACCTGATCTCCTGTTCAGCCCACCCACAACCAAGTACTCCACCTGTAGTTCTCAGGTGTCCAACTTTGTCCTGTCTGTCCCAGGCTGCAGAGGGCACGTCTGCCGCCCTGATCTCCCTTGTGTTCCCAGGCATGGAGCTCCAGAGGCCAACTGCGCTCTGCCCTGGTGCCAGCGCTTCTGCTGGGGAGGCCTGCAGGAATTCAGGCCCTGAACCAAGGAGCTGTTGTGGAGAAGAGGGATCGCCTACCTCCTCCTCCTGGCACTCCTGTAGTGTGGGTTGGGGATCTGGACAGACCGTGCAGCATCCCTGTAGGGTATGCGGCCGCTGGGGAGAGGGAGTGATATGCTCCTCTCCCTGTAACACACACTGCTGCTGGAGAGTGAGACCGACCGTCTTCACTCTCAATAACTTGTCCTGCTGCTGGGGAAGGAAACTGGTTGTCTCCTCTCCCTGTGAAATGCACTGCCACTGGGGGGAGAGACCGATTGTCCCCTCTCCCTGGTAGGTAAGCTGCTGCTGGAAGTAGGACCGAATGTCCCCCCTCCCTGTAACTCACCCTGCCGCTGGGGGGAGAGACGGACCACCTCCTCTCCCTGTAGGATGCACTGCTGCTGGGGAGAGAGACCGATTGACTCCTCTCCTTGTAATGCTGTTTGGGGCTGGGTAATGGGAGCGACCATCTCCACTCCCAGTGATGCTTGCCGCTGCTGAGATGAGGGAACGACAGTCTTCTCTCTTTGTGATATGGACTTCCGCTGGGGAGAGAGACCGACCGTCTCCTCTCCCTGTAGGATGCACTGCCGCTGGGGAGAGAGACCGATTGTCTCCTCTTCTTGTAATGCTGTTTGGGGCTGGGTAGTGGGAGCGACCATCTCCACTCCCAATGATGCTGGTTGCTGTAGGGACGAGGGACCGACAATCTTCTCTCCCTGGGAGGCTGGCTGCCACTGGGGAGTCAGTCCGACTGTCTCGACTCCCGGTAACGCTGCCTGGTGCTGGGTGGTGGTAGCGACCATCTCCACTCCCAGTGGTGCTGGTTGCTACAGGGACGAGGGACCGACAATCTCCTCTTCCTGGGAGGCTTGTAGGGGAGCAGGGGGTAACTCAGTCAGGTCTTCCCAGGTGCACAGTCGTGTGGATTGGGGCCAAATTGAGCTGAGGAAGTATTGGTAGTCCTGCTCCAGATCCCATTCCCGGGTGACCAGATGGAACAGGTCTGGTCCTAGGTCAACCGCATTAGGGAGATACAGCATGGCTTCACGGTAGTCATGGATGTTCCAGAAGTGAGACTCTGTAGGACTCCCGAAGTCTGGGTCGTTAAATGTTTCCCAGAACAGGCCAGGGCCATGGAAATCCTTGCCCTCCAGTTTTTCATAATTGGCCATCTCAGGAACACGCTGGACCGCGTACCACCGTAGCGCCTGGTACTTGTCATCGAGGTACAGTTCCCTCCATACTAGTATCTCAAATTTCTTCACCCACTCGCCCTGTGGCTGCTCACCAAGAAGATATTTATCTCGCCAACACTGAGTGCTCTCCAGGGCTTCGTCCCACATATCCTTTCTGGCCTCCTCCTCTGATACAGGCCCATCCTATTTGTCCAAGAGGTTCTGCACCCTCCAGTAAAACTCCTCCTCGTATGGGTTTGCTGCATAGGGGTCACTTGCTCCATGCTATTATAAACAGGGGTTTACTGGTGTCTCCGAGCTGCTTTTCCTCGCACTAGGACAACATCCCATCGTTGCCACCACTGTAAAGAAACGCCTGGCACCCCGACTGGGTACCTTCCATTGACAGATGCTCCTAATGTTTTCCGAGGGCCCCAAGCACTCCACTAGACACATAAACACCGCAGACCCCATGAACTGCGGCAGCTTGGTTGGGGTCTCGCCGGCGTCCACCCACTCTGGATCCAAGACTCCCAGTAGGTAGACCTCTCTTAATCCAGGGAGCAGGAACAAGCTCTTACGAGAGCATAGTGCTTGTATTCTGGGAAGTATAGTGATTATAGCAATCCCCAGAGTGTAGGTAGTTCTCCAATCCCCCAAACATGATCAGAGACTTCATGAAGGGTAGAACAAGTCTGTTTAATGAGCACAAAGTCATTTCTTTTATACATATTTTCCCCACAAGGTTATCACCCATGTGGACCTTGTGGAGCACAGGACACAAAGGACACAAACTAATCAAAACAATACAATAATGTCTGACACTCCCACATACAGCACACAAGCCTTCCCCTCTGCCTGGTATATAAATAAAGCAGCTAATACAAGAACCTAATTATCCACAGGCAGAAAAACACACATTTTCCCTAAAGTCCAGAAAACACACCAAAACACATAGGCGTGCGCACGGGGTGTGCCGGGTGTGCCTGGGCACACCTTAATCCCCGTGGCACGCCTATGGTTTGAGTCCTGCAGGAACAGCGTTCCTGCACTTTTTTTGAGCAGGAACGCTGTTCCTGCAGGCACTCAGTGCCCCCTGTTTCACCTCTTGCCCCTGTCATGGGGAGGGCAAGAGGTGATGGATTCCCCCCCACTCAGCGCGCGGCGAGGGAGCTCTCTGCTGTCTGCTCCCTCTCGCCGCGCGCTGATGCCGGGAGCCGGAATATGACTTCATATTCCGGCTCCCAGCTCCAGCAGACAGCCCGCGCGGCGAGAGGGAGCAGACAGCAGAGAGCTCCCTCGCCGCGCGCTGAGCTGCAGAAAGGCGCCCGCCCCCACTGGACCCCAGGGAAAAGTCCACCAGCACTCCAGGTAGGAGGCTGGGTGGACATTGTTTTTTAAAATTAAAATATAATAATTTGTGTGTGTGAGTGTGTGTGTGTGTGTGTCAGTGTGTGTGTGTGTGTCAGTGTGTGTGTCAGTGTGTGTGTCTGTGAGTATCTGTGTGTGTGTCTGTGAGTATGTGTGTGTGTGTGTCTGTGAGTGTGTGTGTCTGTGAGTGTGTATGTGTGTGTGTGTGTGTGTGTGTGTGTGTGTACATATTTATATATATATATACCGTATATACTCGAGTATAAGCCGACCCGAATATAAGCCTAGGCCCCTAATTTTACCCCCAAAAACTGGGAAAACTTATTGACTCGAGTATAAGACTAGGGTGGGAAATGCAGCAGCTACTGGTAAATTTCTAAATAAAATTAGATCCTAAAAAAATTATATTAATTGAATATTTATTTACAGTGTGTGTATATGATGAATGCAGTGTGTGTGTATGAGTGCGCAGTGTGTGTATAAATGCAGTGTGTATATGAGTGCGCAGTATGAGTGCAGTGTATGTGTGTATGAGTGCAGTGTATGTGTGTATGAGTGCAGTGTGTGTGTGTATGAATGCAGTGTATGTGTGTATGAATGCAGTGTGTGTGTATGAATGCAGTGTGTGTATGAGTGTGCAGTGTGTGTATGTGTGTGTGTATGAATGCAGTGTGTGTGTATGCAGTGTGTGTGATGCAGTGTGTGTGTGTGTGTGTGTGATGCAGTGTGTGTGATGCAGTGTGTGTATGAATGATGAATGCAGTGTGTGTATGAGTGTGTGTGTGTATGAGTGCAGTGTGTGTATGAATGCAGTGTGTGTGTATGAATGCAGTGTGTGTATGAGTGCAGTGTGTGTGTGATGCAGTGTGTGTTTGTGTGTGCAGAGCCTTGGTGGGGGGTGGGCATTTTTATAAAAAAAAAATTATTATTATTTTAAAAATTTTTTGTTATATTATTATTTTTTTAATTTTTTTATTATTTTTTTTATTATTTATGTATTATTTTATTTAGTTTTTAGTTCATTTTTTAGTTATATTATTTTGTTTATTATTATTTTTATTATTATTTTTTATTATTTATTTATTTATTTATTTTGTTGTCCCCCCTCCCTGCTTGATACATGGCAGGGAGGGGGGCTCTCCTTCCCTGGTGGTCCAGTGGCATTGGCAGTTCAGTGGGGGGAGGAGGGGGGCTGGCAGAGCTGTTACTTACCTCTCCTGCAGCTCCTGTCAGCTCTCTCCTCCTCCGCGCCGGTCCGTGCAGCTCTTCTGTCAGCTCACACTGTAAGTCTCGCGAGAGCCGCACTATGACCCCGCGGCTCTCGCGAGACTTACACTGGGAGCTGACCGAGGTGCTGACCGGACCGGCGCGGAGGAGGAGGGAGCTGACAGGAGCTGCAGGAGAGGTAAGTAACAGCTCTGCCAGCCCCCAGTCTGTATTATGGCAATGTAAATTAATGTAAGTTGCCATAATACAGACTGACTCGAGTATAAGCCGAGTTGGGGTTTTTCAGCACAAAAAGTGTGCTGAAAAACTCGGCTTATACTCGAGTATATACGGTATATATATATTTATATATATATATATATACACACGCAGAGCCGGCGCTATCTGAGTGCCGGCTCTGCTCTAAGCCTTCATGGGCCGGCGGGGAGACCAAAGATCTACCTCACCGGCCCACAGCAGCGTGGAGGGAGGCAGTAGAGGACCCAGGGAGCTCTAGACAGAAGCTCCGCCAGGTTCCTCTCGCGATATCTGAGCGTTGCTGCGGCAACGCTCAGATCTCGCGAGAGTTAACTCTAGCCCTGCAGGCTAGAATTCACTCTCCACTGGACCACCAGGGATGGCACATGGCAGCAAGGATTTACTAATCTGCCAAATCCCTCCAAACATACAGCACACACACATACAGCACCTACACACATACAGCTCACACACACACAGTACACTAACCGCACCCTCACAAACACACTCAGCACCTTTAAAAAAAACACAACACCCTCACAAACAGTAATAAATCCCCCCCAATAACGAGACCAAGCTCCGCATTGGGGGTAAAACAAGAACTGGCTTTACTGTGGGCTACCTGCCTGTATTTCTGCAGGTCTCCCACTTGGTGGACACTCCCCTAGGGGACCAAATGGGAGACTGTGACAACAGATAGACATATGGCAGTTCAGGACCCACAGACACAAAATATTCCCAGCATGCAATAGTAATTCCTCCCCTCTTCCCTGGAGATAATTGAGAAGTAATTCAATTATCTCCAGGACAGAGGCAAATTGACATTTTACATTCAACACATAAAAACATATAAAAATATATAACTTTACATTTGTCGAATGCTACCCATTCGTATCACATATCCCCAGATAGCCTGGATCTGAGTGCATATTATTGGCGAATAGCGCTCAGATCCCATACGCATAGTTCAATCGCCAGCACCGCTTAATAGCTCTCACTCAGGGGAACAATATATCCAAATTTCAGTCCATTCGGTTGAGGGGTTCGGGAGTTATGGGTCTTTGAAGATTTGACCGACCGCACAGGTTTTCTAGCCGAAAAGAGTTCCATAAGTTTTGGCCTTGCGGTCGATCTCCGTTCGTGCATAAAAACCCCACGAACCCCTTGCCATCCACAGTTATCTTGGTGTTCGCCTGAATCCCCATGAATGCTTAAACAAAACTACCGAACGGCCGGTCGTTCGGTAGTTCCAGCACGAACTTACGAGCTCCTGGAGGTCTCAGTGGTGTTCGTCTGTTTGCGTATCCGTTTTTAGTTCCATGCGTTCACAGGCAAACACCGCCGTTCGTGCGTAAGATGGCCGCAAACACGTGTAAAGTCCCGAAATGGCGGCCATCTAACCTGAGCTCAAAGGGATTCGTCTGAACCATGCGATCGGCTCCACAATCACTGGGAGGTAAAATAGCAATTAACTGTTCCCCTGGGTGGTCTGATGTTCGGTATTTTGGGCTGTATGTTACAGTAGCAATATTCACACGAAAATCAGCCATTCGGTTTCTGTTTAACACATCCAGCAGCATTGTTAATTAAGTCCAGGCAAAAGTATAGGCATAATCATAGTTCTGTTACAACAGGAATCGCTCCCAGTCTCTGCAAGTGTCAGTAAAGGTCCTCAACATCTGTTTGAGGGTGCCATTAAATCGTTCACAGAGACCGTTAGTCTGTGGGTGATAAGGTGAGCTAAGCAGCTGCTGGGTAAGCACAGGGGTAAACTGGGTGCCCTGGTCGGAGAGGATCTCCTGAGGGAACCCGACCCTAGTGAAAATTTGAACCAGGGCATCAGCAACCGTCTCTGCCTCTATATTAGACAGTGCTATTGCCTCTGGATAACGTGTGGCATAGTCCACCACGGTAAGAATGTATTTCATACCTGATGGGCTAGCCCTGGCCAGTGGACCCACAATGTCAACGGCTATGCGGGAAAAGGGTTCTCCAATGATAGGCATCGACTGAAGCCTGGTCTCCTCCAGGACTGGTTCTGGTTGGCATTGTTCATCAGGCACTCCGGTCGCTTGTGCCCGGGCTGTTTGCATAGGTAGCACCGAATGGGTTGTGAGAAATCCCGTGAGTTAAACCGGGGTGGCTGTTGGTACTGGGCAGACGGAGGGGGTGCTGATGGCCGATTCATTGGAGGCTGATAGATGTTAGCTGCTGTTGGTGCTGCTGGCCTGTATTCCACTCTGGCGGGAGCCTTACTGATGGAACTGTCCAGTTTGCGGGCATCCGTATACTTGTCCGCCAGGCGAGCTGCTTCATGTAGAGTGGAGGGTTTACGGTCCCTTACCCACTCTCTGACCCCTGCTGGTAATTTGTCAAAGCAATGCTCCAATAGAAACATCTGCAGCACCTCTTCTCCGGACACAGCCTGGCACCCCGCCATCCAGTGGGCAGCTGTGCGGTGCACTTTACATGCCCATTCAACGTAAGAGTCCCCAGCTGTTTTAACAGTGTCTCTGAACCTCCTCCTGTATGCCTCCGGTGTAACTGCATACCGGGAGAGTAAAGCTTCCCTGACGGCCACATAATCCCCGATCTCCTCATCAGGAATGGCCCGAAAAGCCTCGCTGGCCCGGCCGGATAACTTGACGGACAATATAGTGACCCAGTCTTCCAGGGGTACCTTGTGCAGGGCACATTGCCGCTCAAAATCAGCAAGGTACTCCTTCTGTCTCACTGAAAGATTTAAATGCAGTAAATGGCACTTTCTTTCTTTCCCCCGGGTTTGCTGTGACTGGGGCTGCTGCAGCACCGCTTTGGCGTAGCAGGTTGGCCTCCACAGCGGCCATGACCCGGTCGATGATCTCTGCAGATGGGTTGGGACCATAATGTGCCAGCCTGATTCTTACCGCCCGGTCAAAGCTTGCCTCCTCGGGGGTTCTGTCAGCTCTGCTGGGTCCATTGGTTCCCTCTGCCGCTGGTACTCCATCCATTTCCAGCAATAACGCAATAATGTCCCTCTTACTGAGGTTACTGGCTTGTCCGCCTCTTTGCTCTAATAAATCTTTTAGGGTAGCTCTTCTCAGGTTTTGATATTGTAATTCCATTTAATTCTGGTTGTATTGGTCTCTCTAGGTGCTGAGGATCATCCCATCGCTTGCCACCAGTTGTTACGGTACCTCCAGTAATAAATGCACAAACCGCCGTTTAGTGAATGCTCCCCGTTCGCAATAATGTGGTCTGGTAGCGTATGCAGTATAACCATGCGAACCGCCAGCCAGGAACATTCCAAACTCCCCAACGGTACCTGTACGGCTCCTTCCCTTCACGAGCTCCAAATGCACGAATCGCCAATAGCAGCCGAACGGCAATAGTTTCCAAGCGGCAAATAATCCCAATAAGCAGTCTCTAGTCGCCGGTAATAAAATCCCCCCCCAATAACGAGACCAAGCTCCGCTTTGTGGGTAAAACACAAACTGAGTTTACTGTGGGCTACTTGCCCGTATTTATGCAGGTTTCCCACTTGGTGGACACTCCCCTAGGGGACCAAATGGGAGACTGGAATAACAGAAGAACATGGGGACATTTCAGACATACATCCCCACAATATTCCCAGCATGCACCACAGTTTCCTCCCCTCTGCTCGGGAGATAATTGAGAAGTAATTCAATTATCTCCCAGAGTAGAGGCAAATCGCCATTTTAAATACAAGTTACAAAACACATTAAAATACATAACTTTATAACTGTTGAACGTATTGCATTCGTATAACACATCCCCAGATAGCCTGGATCTGAGTGCATATTATTGGCGAATAGCGCTCAGATCCCACACACATAGTTCAATCGCCATGGAGTCAAAGTCTATTACAGTTCTTCGATTGACTCCATGGGAAAGCTATCTGGGGTAAGTCCAGTCGTGCCTTTAAATCTCTCGAACGGCCGGTATTCGTATACTTTTGTCGATTGAGAAGGGGAGGTTGACGGCTTCAGCGGTGTTCGGTTGAAAAAGTGTCCTTTTTTTATTTCCATGGAATAACCGAACACCGCTGGGCTTTCGCATAGTTAAAATGGCCGCCGCCTCGTGGTCGACATGCGAACGACGACCACCCTGTATTCGGTTTTAATTGAGAAGTGTCTGTGGTTAACCGCAACGTTCTAATTGGGATCAATAAGTTAACCAGCAGCACACTTCTCTTCTGGGTGTCCGTCCGGTAGTTCCGTTCGACAAAAAAAATACATTCCCTTAAACAAGGCATACGAATGGGTCAATTCATACAAACGGCAAAACAGACTAACACAGCAATTCTAGTTCATACAGATGGGTCTGTCACAATTTTAAACATGCCCATGCAGTTGACAACTATTTTAGCTTAGTTTTTCCTATTTGGGCAAAATCTGTTTGGTGATATATTGCAATACCTGGTCTTTAGGAACTATGTATATATATTTTTATCATGATTTCTTTTTTGCCGATTTCGTTTCGGCTAGGTTTTTTCCTCTTTTTGTTTGTTTTCTAATATACCATCATTATTATTCTTTATTTATTTATTTTCTTTTTTGGACTGTGCATCCAAAATAATTGATGTGTATTCAGTTGGTGTGATGCGGTTAATAGATCTCTCGTATAAGACCTCCAAGAGTTAACCACTTTTTCCCAGGCACGAATAGAAGTTGCAACATACACGTCATTGTGACGAACCATTCTGATAGGTCAATTACCGCTGACGTTCTTCACACGGATTGGCCAATACCAACATTTGAACATTTAAAAGGGAGCCATCTCCCACACATCGGTTCCCCTCTGATGAGTTGTGGGCGAAACGCGCGCGTCAGGGGAGTCCGTTGTCCTGAAGCTGCACATGAAAGACCAAATACATTGCGGTCTCGAGACTTCGGGAGCACTTTACCACTCTAGCTTTTTGCACTAACATTAGGAATTTTAGTACTGCGCAAGTTTGTATCTTTGAACCTGCAGTGTTTTGTGCTAATTTTCACTTGTGCTGATTTGTATCCAGTACTAACGGAAATGGACAATCGTATCTTGTTGTAGTGGCGTACAGCCGTTTACAGAGCGATTTCAAGGTCTACATTGTTGACCACCACTAGAAATTCATATTAACTAAGGGCAAATCGTATCCTCTTTTTACTCTTAGGCTGGTGGTAGTCAGACACATTGTATATATCAGACTCATTATATAAGTAGACCGTCTCTATGGTTCTTTAGCACTTGTGAATTTGCAAAACATGGTTTTGCATACATTTCTTGATGAAGGTTTCTGAAAACTTTTGAACAGAACCTCATCTATTGACTTCAACAAATATATTTAGTCAGTTAGCTATTATTTTCTTTCCGAGGTGGTATTATCTGGAAATTTGCATTCCAGCTGCCCACTGGAAGGCTGTGTCCGGAGAAGAGGTGCTGCAGATGTTTCTATTGGAGCATTGCTTTGACAAATTACCAGCAGGGGTCAGAGAGTGGGTAAGGGACCGTAAACCCTCCACTCTACATGAAGCAGCTCGCCTGGCGGACAAGTATACGGATGCCCGCAAACTGGACAGTTCCATCAGTAAGGCTCCCGCCAGAGTGGAATACAGGCCAGCAGCACCAACAGCAGCTAACATCTATCAGCCTCCAATGAATCGGCCATCAGCACCCCCTCCGTCTGCCCAGTACCAACAGCCACCCCGGTTTAACTCACGGGATTACTCACAACCCATTCGGTGCTACCTATGCAAACAGCCCGGGCACAAGCGACCGGAGTGCCTTGAACAATGCCAACCAGAACCAGTCCTGGAGGAGACCAGGCTTCAGTCGATGCCTATCATTGGAGAACCCTTTTCCCGCATAACCGTTGACATTGTGGGTCCACTGGCCAGGGCTAGCCCATCAGGTAAGAAATACATTCTTACCGTGGTGGACTATGCCACAAGTTATGCAGAGGCAGTAGCGCTGTCTAATATAGAGGCAGAGACGGTTGCTGATGCCCTGGTTAAAATTTTCACTAGGGTCGGGTTCCCTCAGGAGATCCTCTCCGACCAGGGAACCCAGTTTACCCCTGTGCTTACCCAGCAGCTGTGGAAGGTGTGCGGCATTAAACCGCTGCTTAGCTCACCTTATCACCCACAGACTAACGGTCTCTGTGAACGATTTAATGGCACCCTCAAACAGATGTTGAGGACCTTTACTGACACTTGCAGAGACTGGGAGCGATTCCTGCTGTAACAGAACTATGATTATGCCTATACTTTTGCCTGGACTTAATTAACAATGCTGCTGGATGTGTTAAACAGAAACCGAATGGCTGATTTTCGTGTGAATATTGCTACTGTAACATACAGCCCAAAATACCGAACATCAGACCGCCCAGGGGAACAGTTAATTTTACCTCCCAGTGATTGTGGAGCCGTTCGCATGGTTCAGACGAATCCCTTTGAGCTCAGGTTAGATGGCCGCCATTTCGGGACTTTACACGTGTTCGCGGCCATCTTACGCACGAACGGCGGTGTTTGCCTGTGAACGCATGGAACTAAAAACGGATACGCAAACAGGCGAACACCGCTGAGACCTCCAGGAGCTCGTAAGTTCGTGCTGGAACTACCGAACGACCGGCCGTTCGGTAGTTTTGTTTAAGCATTCATGGGGATTCAGACGAACACCAGGATTACTGTGGATGGCAAGGGGTTCGTGGGGTTTTCATGCACGAACGGAGACCGACCGCAGGGTAGCCGTTACAGCATTGTAATCCATAAGTCTTTTCAGGCAAACTGTTCTTTTTGTTACAGGCTCTTCCAAGAGTCCGGGAACTGTGCTATCAGTTTATCGAGCAGGTCCAATCAACCAATGCCATAATCCCTGCTGGACAGAGAATTATGGGATATGGTCAGTATTTCCTGATTGGACAATCTCATCCGGGTCTAAAACTTTTTTCAATTTAATTTTCGCCAATATTTATTTGTCTTCTTATGCGATACCTATATTATGCATTAAAAAATAAATAATATATATTAAATATTACATAGAAAATACCTTTAATGAAAAGGTTAGCAGAGGGCTCTGTTTGTAACGTGCTGTCATTTTTCCACTCAGACTTTATATCCTAATTAAAATCTTCCATTCCTCTTATTAATTTTTTTTTGCCTGCATCTGCACTTTTCCATTTCAATTCTATAATTCAAACCTGATTAAAAAGGGTTTGACTGCTGTTGATTTATAAAGAGGCAGAATGTGGTTATCTTCTTGTTGTTTAATAACATTCTTTTATATGATGTCAATTAGTTACTGGTGTTTGTGATCGCTGACTGACATATCGTTACTCAATCTATTGTCTATGATTATTCTCATAGTACCATTAATCCTACCACGATCCCATTTAGGGTATAATTAGGCCAATCTTCATTTGGAAAAGGTTCTGCTAAACCATCCTCTGCCTGTTGTGGTTGTGGTGTTTCTCATTGTAAGTTTATGGCATATCTCAAACACAGCTGTAATCTGGACAAAACGTTGAGACAGAACAGCAAACAAAGCATTAAAGTGAGAATCTTTAACTTGTGAATTCCATGGGCTTGGAGTCACAGCCTTAACCCCTTCACTGCTAAGCTCTTTCTATAAAAATTAGAACAGCATAGCATGTGTTTGTTTGGTGTGTGCTTTGCTGGTATAGATATCAGTGTTGTCACACACAGTGTGCTGGGACATTGTCTTTCACTGTTCTAGCAGTAGATTGCACTCCATTGCCCCCTAGTGCTGTGTAGTGATAGAAACATAGAATGTGACGGCAGATAAGAACCATTCAGCCCATCTAGTCTGCCCAATTTTCTAAATACTTTCATTAGTCCCTAGCCCTATCTTATAGTTAGGATAGCCTTATGCCTATCCCACGCATGCTTAAACTCCTTTACTGTGTTAATCTCTACCACTTCAGCTGGAAGGCTATTCCATGCATCCACTACCCTCTCAGTAAAGTAATACTTCCTGATATTATTTTTAGACCTTTGCCCCTCTAATTTAAGACTATGTCCTCTTGTTGTGGTAGTTTTTCTTCTTTTAAATATAGTCTCTTCCTTTACTGTGACAAAGTACCTGACCAATATAGGAATCCCCATCACTATCCAGCAGGGGGGAGGTATGAGACATATGGAGGGGCTGGGGGGCAATGATACACTTGGTTGGTCTGGGATAAGGGTGTGACGAAGTGCCCTTTGCCACTTGGTCCTGGAGAGGCCTGCTTGCCAGCCTCCTCCCCTGTGACTATGACTCTTTCATGTATCTGGCTTTAAAGCCCCTATTATACCTTCAGACAGACTATTTATGTAGGTTGCTTTATTTCTCTTATGTTTTAGATACCCTGTACCCATTATAGGTGCAGGGTGTGTGCAATGTAATTGTTTATAGTGTGTGTGTACTGTGAAATGGATTGCCTGCTCTCCTGTACTGCTGAGGTTTTCTACAAACTAGGTGGGTTTGGCTATGGAGCTTGTCTAGTGCCCTCTGTTGGTAGCAACAGCAATATGCACTACCTGAATAGCAAGACTGGTTCATTTGCATATTCGGGTAGATTTGCATATTGCTAATTCTGCAGGTACGTGAGATATTTTCTGTTAAATATTGTCTCCCCCACCCCTTTAAAAATGTACCATTGTGTTGTGATAAGTCACTGTGTGTTGCCTGCTATGGTTTGACTGTTTGTAATTTTATTGAGTTTTCACAGCAATGTTAATGTGGCTGGTCCCAAGAGAAATAAAGGTTTAGACAGTTCTTCTTGATCCCTCTAAACGTAGCCTTGTTTTGTTTTTGGAGGTTGCTGTTATAATCACACTGGGGATTGCTATGCTCTGCATACTCCCCTGAACTTGAATCACTTAGCGCTTTTAAGAGCTTGTTCCTGACACGCACTCCTTGGAGGAGAGGTCTTCCCCACACAGTCCTGGATGCTGGAGGTTCATACAGGGTGGAAATTATATTACACCTAGGACTAAAGGTAACGTCTTATCGGGCCTTAGAATGGCCGGACTTAACGTACCATAGAATAGTCAGGATACTTGCTGAGGTCAGGGACACAGAAGGAGACACAACGATGAGGGAAAGCCAAAAGTCAAAGATACCAGAATTCAGGGAAGTCAAAATGAAGCCAAAGTCAATAACCAGAAATAAACGATCAGGAACACACTCTCGGATAACCAACTAAGGGAAAACACGACAGGGCACTGATCAAAAGGTAATTTGGGTTAACATAACCCTTCTAGAGTTGTAATTGGCTATACATGACCTCTGACCCCAAAATGTGCGTGCACGTCCATGACGCGACGCCGCACGCGCATAAGTGTCATTTTTAATATGGGCAAGGGGTATTTCTTTATTAGAAATGGAACTGCACCGGCCGGCGTCTCTGTTTACACCGCACACGCCGGGAACCGAGATGGAAGGAGGATGGGTCTTGGTCTGCCAGGTGCAAGATGAGTGTTTGTTATTTCTGTCGGTGTGACAGCTGGTTTTCAGTGCGGTCATGCTAACAGAAACCCGCGGTATCGTGACAATACTATACTCAGGGTGAGTGGGCAGATTCTCAGAGTGAATGGACAGATTCTTAATGTGAGTGGGCAGATTCTCAGAGTGAATGGGTAGATTCTCATTGTGAATGGGCAGATTCCCAGGGTATGTGGGCAGATTCTCATTGTGAATGGGTAGATTCTCATTGTGAATGGGCAGATTCTCAGGGTAAATTGTCAGATTCTCATAGTGAGTGGGATGAATGGGCAGATTGTCCATGGACGTGGGCAGATTCTCAGATTGAATGGGTATATTCTCAATGTGAATGGGCAGATTCTCATAGTGAGTGGGATGAATGGGCAGATTCTCAGAATGAATGGGTAGATTCTCAATGTGAATGGGCAGATTCACAGAGTGCATGGACAAATTCTCAGGGTACGTGGGCAGATTCTCATAATGAGTGGGATGAATGGGCAGATTCTGAGGTAGGTTGGAGTTGAGTGGCTGATACTCTGTACTGATATAGAAATCACTCTGTTTACTTACAGGATTATTATTGCATTTTTTTCACAAACATTACTTTTCTCAGTCGCTGGTTGAGAGAATAAATTGCCTTTATTGCAAGGTCAAAATCTGGGCTCTTTTCTAGTTATTTCCCAGTCCCTTAAACCTTTATTGAGGTCTTACTAGAAATATGGCATTTTTATTACATGATCTAGTGAGAATTTCCTTCACCTTTATTAACTGGATCTTTCTACCCCCCCCCCTCCTCCCCCAATCCCACCCCCACCAGTTAAAGGCTACATTTTCTTGAAAGAGCAGAGCTTGCAGGACCTTTACAAGTCACTGACAACTGTATCATCTTCAGATTCCATTAGAGTTGATGCTTGTGAATTCACACAACAGATAGCATTATCCTAGATTAGCAGCCAGGTCCACCATCCCCCACCCCCTAGTGTGGACCTGCACTGCTCATGTTAGATAAAGAGTGACCCAGGACATGTGCAAAATCTTCCTGCGACAGACAGATGGACAACACAGCAGAACATTCCAAAAAGTGAAGAGACTGGATGGTATCTGTGAAGAAGGCGTGGTGTTGGTGATGATGCTGGGTACACCTTGTGATTTGACATTGAGAGCAGAAATTGATATCGCTGTGGTGCATTTAGCAAAACACTATTTTTTAAAGAACCTTTTACCATGACCCAGTACGGGTGCCCCATCAAAGGATAAAGTAAGAAAGTGACATGTACATATTGCCATGTACCATTTCTCGGACACACTGATTGTCCTTATAGTACAATTCTTACTGCTTCAAGTCTGAGGTGGATGTTGTAATGGTGGCTTCTGTGGTACAGAAAGTGGTGAAATTTCTGGGTCTGATGCTGCCTTCTGCAAAGTTGTGTTAGGTGCATTTCCTAGATTGTGACATTTCTTGTGATTTCATGACCATTGGAGAGGTTACCTCTTGGCCAACAGGCTGGTGTATAATTCTGGTCTCTTTTAAACTCACACATTCCCAAGGACGGGGTACATAGGAAAAATGAGAGAGATTTTGGCTGCTCCACCCAGCCAGGTAATCAATGTTTTCCCAGAAGTGCCAGGCTGTGGCTAGGCTGGGGTGCATCCCGACACCCAGATCAGTCTATTGAGCAGCTCAAGCCACAGTTGGTGTGATTCAGAGCTGGACAGGGTTGGAGGCACTTCAGATCACATCGTCCTCAGAGCGTTCTCCAAGTAGCCAAAAAGTCCTCATCTTCCCTTTACCCTAAATGACAAAAATCATCATAAGACCACAGAAAGAAACCTAATCCCTGCTCTACGTTAGTAAATAAAATAAAAAAGCATGCTTAAATATGAAATATAGCTAAATATGATTAGTTCTCACAGGGTTTACTTCACGTTTCCATAGAATGACCCCTAACTTCCTGCAAATACCTTCATTTCAATGTCTCCTCGAAGCTCCAGGAGGAAGCAGCCAAATTCATCCAGGACTTCTTTGGTGGCAGAAGATATATGGATCCGGAGGGCTGGAGAAAACGCAGTAAATTAAAATATAGCCGTGAAGAGAACAAAACATAGTTAAAGTACCTAACAAAATTCTCATCTCTGCACATTTTGCCTTCCTGCCTCGGCTCTGTTTTTCTGAAACCTATGTAGATGTCTACATGTTGGTCTGACTGACCAATTAATCATTCATGCGCTTTTATTTGATACATTGCATTCACTATTCAACATATATCCCAGGCTAAACCTCTACCAAATATATCGCTGGCCATGTGATATCGCTAGCTATGTAATGTCACTAAGGTATAACATATCTGCCTTTGTGATATCTCTGGATATACGATATCCCTGGCTATGTGATACATCTTGCTATATCACATAGTCAGGGATATCACATAGACAGAGATACCAGGGATATCATATAGACAGAGATACCAGGGATATCATATAGACAGAGATACCAGGGATATCACATAGACAGAGATACATGGAATATCACATAGACAGAGATACCAGGGATATCACATAGACAGAGATACCAGGGATTTCACATAGACAGAGATACCAGGGATTTCACATAGACAGAGATAACAGGGACATCACATAGACAGAGATACCAAGGATATCACATAGACAAGGATACCAGGGATATCACATAGACAGAGATACCAGGGATATCATATAGACAGAGATACCAGGGATATCATATAGACAGAGATACCAGGGATATCACATAGACAGAGATACCAGGGATATCACATAGACAGAGATACATGGAATATCACATAGACAGATATACCAGGGATATCACATAGACAGAGATACCAGGGATACCACATAGACAGAGATACCAGGGATATCACATAGACAGAGATACCAAGGATATCACATAGACAAGGATACCAGGGCTATCATATAGACAGAGATACCAGGGATATCACATAGACAGAGATACCAGGGATATCACATAGACAGAGATACATGGAATATCACATAGACAGATATACCAGGGATATCACATAGACAGAGATACCAGGGATACCACATAGACAGAGATACCAGGGATATCACATAGACAGAGATACCAAGGATATCACATAGACAAGGATACCAGGGCTATCATATAGACAGAGATACCAGGGATATCATATAGACAGAGATACCAGGGATATCACATAGACAGAGATACCAGGGATATCACATAGACAGAGATACAAGGAATATCACATAGACAGAGATACCAGGGATATCACATAGACAGAGATACCAGGGATATCACATAGACAGAGATACCAGGGATATCACATAGACAGAGATACCAGGGATATCACATAGACAGAGATACCAGGGATATCACATAGACAGAGATACCAGGGATATCACATAGACAGAGATACCAGGGATATCACATAGACAGAGATACCAGGGATATCACATAGACAGAGATACCAGGGATATCACATAGACAGAGATACCAGGGATATCACATAGACAGAGATACCAGGGATATCACATAGACAGAGATACCAGGGATATCACATAGACAGAGATACCAGGGATATCACATAGACAGAGATACCAGGGATATCACATAGACAGAGATACCAGGGATATCACATAGACAGCGATACCAGGGCTATCACATAGACAGAGATACCAAGGATATCACATAGACAGGGATACCAGGGATATCACATAGACAGTGATACCAGGGATATCACATAGACAGAGATACCAGGGATATCACATAGACAGAGATACCAGGGATATCACATAGACAGAGATACCAGGGATATCACATAGACAGAGATACCAGGGATATTACATAGACAGAGATATCGGGGATATCACATAGACAGAGATACAAGGGATATTACATAGACAGATATAGCAGGGATATTACATAGACCTAGATACCAGGGATATCACATAGACAGGGATACTCCGGATATCACATAGACAGGGATATCGCATAGACAGAGATACCAGGGACATCACATAGAGAGAGATACAAGGGATATCACAGACAGAGATACAAGGGATATCTCATAGACATAGATACCAGGGATATCACATAGACAGGGATATCACATAGACAGAGATATCGGGGATATCACATAGACAGAGATACAAGGGATATTACATAGACAGATATACCAGGGAAATCACATAGACCGTGATATCACATAGACCTAGATACCAGGGATATCACATAGACAGGGATACTACGGATATCACATAGACAGGGATATCACATAGACAGAGATACCAGGGATCTCACATAGACAGAGATACAAGGGATATTACATAGACAGATATACCAGGGATATCACATAGACAGAGATACCAGGGACATCACATAGACAGAGATACAAGGGATATCACATAGACAGCCATACCAGGGATATCACATAGACATAGATACCAGGGATATCACATAGACAGAGATACCAGGGATCTCACATAGACAGAGATACAAGGGATATTACATAGACAGATATACCAGGGATATCACATAGACAGAGATACCAGGGACATCACATAGACAGAGATACAAGGGATATCACATAGACAGAGATACAAGGGATATTACATAGACAGATATACCAGGGATATCACATAGACAGTTATACCAGGCATATCACATAGACCGTGATTTCACATAGACCTAGATACCAGGGATATCACATAGACAGGGATACCACGGATATCACATAGACAGAGATACAAGGAATATCACATAGACAGAGATACCAGGGATATCACATAGACAGAGATACCAGAAATATCACATAGACAGCTATACCACATAGACAGGGATATCACATAGACAGGGAAATCTCATAGACAGAGATACCAGGGATATCTCATAGACAGAGATACCAGTGATATCACATAGACAGAGATATCAGGGATATCACATAGACAGGGATATCTCATAGACAGAGATACCAGGGATATCATATAGACAGAGATACCAGGGATATCACATAGACAGATATACCACAAAGACAGAGATACCAGTGATATCACATAGACCGAGATACCACGGATATCACAGACAGAGATACCACAGATATCATAGACAGAGATCCAAGGGATATTACATAGACAGAGATACAATCACATAGAGAGGGGTACAAGGGATTTCACATAGACAGGGATACCAGAAATATCACATAGACAGAGATACAAGGGATATCACATAGAGAGGGTGTAACGAAATCCCCTATTTACAGACCCTACGAACAAGCCTGTTTGGTTATTTGGAGGATTACAGCGGGATTTCGTGGAAATAGCAATAATAGCGAATAAACTACCGAACCACTGACCTCTCACGGAGGTCGTATGGCGCCTATTGACCACCCTGACTGTTGCGGTTAACCACAAACTAATTGGGGAATAGCTGGTGGTCCGCGTTCGTTTACCGAACACGTGGCAATCGCCATTTTGTATTGTCGAACGCGCAGCGGTAAATGGCGAGGATTCCCTGGAACTGATTTCGGCTACTTATTTTGTCGAACACCGCTGCTACCTTCTCCCATCCCCGTTCGTACGGTGGAAAAACACACGAATTAAGGGGATACTACTTAATTCGTGCGCTGAAAGTATGCGAAAGTGACCGACCCCAGATAGCTATAGTATGGAACTTGCAGTCGGCTACAAACACACGAACGGCCGGTGAAAGTCAAACTTCAGTCGATTCTGAGAACTGTGTTTGTGGGATCTGAGCGCTATTCGCCTAGAATATGCACTCAGATCCAAGCTTTCTGGGGATATGTGGAACTTAAAGTTTATGTTGTGTAAAAAGAAAGTTATATATTTTTATTCTGTTTTGCTGAAATAAGAAAAGCCATGTTTCTTTCTACCTGGAGATAATTAAGGCTCTCTTGGCTACCTTAAGTTAATTATCTCCAGGATGGAAAAGAGGGAGTGATTTATGTGAAAGGGGAGTGCTTATGCTATAGCCACTGTGATTGGCTAGTGTGTTACTTCTGTCCCAGTCTTCCATCTGGTCCCCTAGGAGAGTGTCCACCAGGTGGGAGACCTGCATAAATACCGGGCGGGTAGCCCACAGTAAATCAGATCATTTTACCCCTTCATGAAGTCTCGACTCATGTTTGGGGGATTGGGAGTTATAATCACTTCGTTTCAGCTGGACTTCGGGAGAAGCTGCAAGGATCATCGCTGCACTAATAGAAGGATCCTTTACAGAGGGGTACAAGGGATTTCACATAGACAGGGATACCAGAAATATCACATAGACAGAGATACCAGAGATATCACATAGACAGAGATACCAGGGACATCACCGAGACAGAGATACCA